TGGTGTGAGGATGGATGGTTCAAACACTGGGTAACTTGGTGTGTGGATGGATGGTTCAAACACTGGGTATGTACTGGGGACCTTGGTGTATGGATGGATGGTTCAAACACTGGGTAACTTGGTGTGTGGATGGATGGTCCAAACACTGAGTAAGTACTGGCAACCTTGTTGTGTGGATGGATGGTCCAAACACTGAGTAAGTACTGGGGACCTTGTTGTGTGGATGGATGGTCCAAACACTGAGTAAGTACTGGGGACCTTGGTGTGTGGATGGATGGTTCAAACACTGGGTATGTACTGGCGACCTTGTTGTGTGGATGGATGGTCCAAACACTGAGTAAGTACTGGGGACCTTGTTGTGTGGATGGATGGTTCAAACACTGGGTATGTACTGGCGACCTTGTTGTGTGGATGGATGGTCCAAACACTGAGTAAGTACTGGGGACCTTGTTGTGTGGATGGATGGTCCAAACACTGAGTAAGTACTGGGGACCTTGGTGTGTGGATGGATGGTCCAAACACTGAGTAAGTACTGGGGACCTTGTTGTGTGGATGGATGGTCCAAACACTGGGTATGTACTGGGGACCTTGGTTAATGGATGGATGGTCCAAACACTGAGTAAGTACTGGGGACCTTGGTGTATGGATGGATGGTCCAAACACTGAGTAAGTACTGGGGACCTTGGTGTATGGATGGATGGTCCAAACACTGAGTAAATACTGGGGACCTTGGTGTGAGGATGGATGGTTCAAACACTGGGTAACTTGGTGTGTGGATGGATGGTTCAAACACTGGGTATGTACTGGGGACCTTGGTGTATGGATGGATGGTTCAAACACTGGGTAACTTGGTGTGTGGATGGATGGTCCAAACACTGAGTAAGTACTGGGGACCTTGGTGTGAGGATGGATGGTCCAAACACTGAGTAAATACTGGGGACCTTGGTGTGAGGATGGATGGTTCAAACACTGGGTAACTTGGTGTGTGGATGGATGGTTCAAACACTGGGTATATACTGGGGACCTTGGTGTATGGATGGATGGTTCAAACACTGGATAACTTGGTGTGTGGATGGATGGTCCAAACACTGGGTATGTACTGGGTAACTTGGTGTGTGGATGGATGGTCCAAACACTGAGTAAGTACTGGGGACCTTGGTGTGTGGATGGATGGTCCAAACACTGGGTATGTACTGGGGACCTTGGTGTGTGGATGGATGGTCCAAACACTGAGTAAGTACTGGGGACCTTGGTGTGAGGATGGATGGTCCAAACACTGAGTAAGTACTGGCGACCTTGTTGTGTGGATGGATGGTTCAAACACTGGGTATGTACTGGCGACCTTGTTGTGTGGATGGATAGTCCAAACACTGAGTAAGTACTGGCGACCTTGTTGTGTGGATGGATGGTCCAAACACTGAGTAAGTACTGGGGACCTTGGTGTGTGGATGGATGGTCCAAACACTGAGTAAGTACTGGCGACCTTGTTGTGTGGATGGATGGTCCAAACACTGGGTATGTACTGGCGACCTTGTTGTGTGGATGGATGGTCCAAACACTGAGTAAGTACTGGGGACCTTGTTGTGTGGATGGATGGTCCAAACACTGAGTAAGTACTGGCGACCTTGGTGTGAGGATGGATGGTCCAAACACTGAGTAAGTACTGGCGACCTTGTTGTGTGGATGGATGGTTCAAACACTGGGTATGTACTGGGGACCTTGGTGTATGGATGGATGGTCCAAACACTGAGTAAGTACTGGCGACCTTGTTGTGTGGATGGATGGTTCAAACACTGGGTATGTACTGGGGACCTTGTTGTGTGGATGGATGGTTCAAACACTGGGTATGTACTGGCGACCTTGTTGTGTGGATGGATGGTCCAAACACTGAGTAAGTACTGGCGACCTTGTTGTGTGGATGGATGGTTCAAACACTGGGTAACTTGGTGTATGGATGGATGGTCCAAACACTGAGTAAGTACTGGCGACCTTGTTGTGTGGATGGATGGTTCAAACACTGGGTATGTACTGGCGACCTTGTTGTGTGGATGGATGGTCCAAACACTGAGTAAGTACTGGCGACCTTGTTGTGTGGATGGATGGTCCAAACACTGGGTATGTACTGGCGACCTTGTTGTGTGGATGGATGGTCCAAACACTGAGTAAGTACTGGGGACCTTGTTGTGTGGATGGATGGTCCAAACACTGAGTAAGTACTGGCGACCTTGGTGTGAGGATGGATGGTCCAAACACTGAGTAAGTACTGGGGACCTTGGTGTGAGGATGGATGGTCCAAACACTGAGTAAGTACTGGCGACCTTGTTGTGTGGATGGATGGTTCAAACACTGGGTATGTACTGGGGACCTTGGTGTATGGATGGATGGTCCAAACACTGAGTAAGTACTGGGGACCTTGGTGTATGGATGGATGGTTCAAACACTGGGTAACTTGGTGTGTGGATGGATGGTTCAAACACTGGGTAACTTGGTGTGAGGATGGATGGTTCAAACACTGGGTATGTCCTGGGGACCTTGGTGTGAGGATGGATGGTTCAAACACTGGGTAACTTGGTGTGAGGATGGATGGTTCAAACACTGGGTATGTCCTGGGGACCTTGGTGTATGGATGGATGGTCCAAACACTGGGTATGTACTGGCGACCTTGGTGTGTGGATGGATGGTCCAAACACTGGGTATGTCCTGGGGACCTTGGTGTATGGATGGATGGTCCAAACACTGGGTATGTCCTGGGGACCTTGGTGTATGGATGGATGGTCCAAACACTGGGTATGTACTGGGGACCTTGGTGTATGGATGGATGGTCCAAACACTGGGTATGTACTGGGGACCTTGGTGTGTGGATGGATGGTCCAAACACTGAGTAAGTACTGGCGACCTTGGTGTGTGGATGGATGGTCCAAACACTGGTTAAGTACTGGGGACCTTGGTGTGAGGATGGATGGTCCAAACACTGAGTAAGTACTGGCGACCTTGGTGTATGGATGGATGGTCCAAACACTGGACAAGTACTGGGGACCTTGGTGTGTGGATGGATAGTCCAAACACTGGACAAGTACTGGCGACCTTGGTGTGTGGATGGATGGTCCAAACACTGGGTATGTACTGGGTAACTTGGTGTGTGGATGGATGGTCCAAACACTGGACAAGTACTGGGGACCTTGGTTTATGGATGGATGGTCCAAACACTGGGTATGTACTGGGTAACTTGGTGTGTGGATGGATGGTTCAAACACTGGGTATGTACTGGGTAACTTGGTGTGTGGATGGATGGTTCAAACACTGGGTATGTACTGGGGACCTTGGTGTGTGGATGGATGGTTCAAACACTGGGTATGTACTGGGGACCTTGGTGTGTGGATGGATGGTTCAAACACTGGGTAACTTGGTGTGTGGATGGATGGTCCAAACACTGGGTATGTACTGGGGACCTTGGTGTGTGGATGGATGGTCCAAACACTGAGTAAGTACTGGCGACCTTGGTGTGTGGATGGATGGTCCAAACACTGGGTAAGTACTGGGGACCTTGGTTTATGGATGGATGGTCCAAACACTGAGTAAGTACTGGGGACCTTGTTGTGTGGATGGATGGTCCAAACACTGAGTAAGTACTGGGGACCTTGGTGTGTGGATGGATGGTCCAAACACTGGGTATGTACTGGGAACCTTGGTGTGAGGATGGATGGTCCAAACACTGAGTAAGTACTGGGGACCTTGGTGTGTGGATGGATGGTCCAAACACTGGGTATGTACTGGGGACCTTGGTGTATGGATGGATGGTCCAAACACTGGGTATGTACTGGGGACCTTGGTGTATGGATGGATGGTCCAAACACTGGGTATGTACTGGGTAACTTGGTGTATGGATGGATGGTTCAAACACTGGACAAGTACTGGCGACCTTGTTGTGTGGATGGATGGTCCAAACACTGAGTAAGTACTGGGGACCTTGTTGTGTGGATGGATGGTCCAAACACTGGGTATGTACTGGGGACCTTGGTGTGTGGATGGATGGTCCAAACACTGGGTATGTACTGGGGACCTTGGTGTGAGGATGGATGGTCCAAACACTGGGTATGTACTGGGGACCTTGGTGTATGGATGGATGGTCCAAACACTGGGTATGTAATGGGTAACTTGGTGTATGGATGGATGGTTCAAACACTGGACAAGTACTGGCGACCTTGTTGTGTGGATGGATGGTCCAAACACTGGGTATGTACTGGGGACCTTGGTGTGTGGATGGATGGTCCAAACACTGAGTAAGTACTGGGGACCTTGGTGTGTGGATGGATGGTCCAAACACTGGGTATGTACTGGGTAACTTGGTTTATGGATGGATGGTCCAAACACTGAGTAAGTACTGGGGACCTTGGTGTGTGGATGGATGGTCCAAACACTGAGTAAGTACTGGGGACCTTGGTGTGTGGATGGATGGTCCAAACACTGGACAAGTACTGGCGACCTTGGTGTGTGGAAGGATGGTCCAAACACTGGACAAGTACTGGCGACCTTGGTGTATGGATGGATGGTTCAAACACTGGACAAGTACTGGGGACTTGGTGTATATGATGAGTGGGTGTAGGAGTTGATGTACGAAGGATAAATAGATGGATGATAAATGATTGCATAACTGGAAGACAACGGAAACTTGTAAGTTTATAAGGTTTATAAGGAAAGGAGGTGGGGGATTGAGGGGGGGAAAAAGATCTTGAGGAAAGTGGGCAATATATCAATGGAAGTTTAAATAACTTCAAAGCTTGGTACTGTTTCACTTTCAGGTTGGCAAATTAGAGTTACCTTTCCCTGGATGAAAATCCGAAAAGAGAAGGCCCGGAAAGGAGACCAGAAACAAACAAGAATTTTTCGTTTTCGCCATAGGTTCAATTAACTTTAATCATCGAGAAGGATGGACAGGTGGAAGGAAAAGAAAGATGAACAGGCACACACCATGCAACCAAATACTGACTGATGCTACTCACTGGGTCAAGGTCAGCATCCACGGCTGGGACCATCTTGAATACCCTCATCTCATGCTGTTTCATCTGCTTCAGCATGTAGTCAAACAGTTGGGGGCTTGGACAGGGCAGGTCAGGCAGAACAGCAGACTCTGAAACAAATCATCTCAATATTAAGGTCACATTGAATTAAGCCTCACAACCCTGTCAGCAATATCACTGTAAATAATTGATCCTGGACAGGCAACCAGTGGTTGACAGCACAGTAATAAACCTAGCATGTTTTTAAGTTTGGCCCTAGGGCCCATAGACCCTGAAAATTGTGGAAATTCAATCTGTACAGGTAAAAAATCATGCATAGCCCGGGGGGCAATACTGCTATCAACCCCCCACCCCCCAGACACAAGGACAGCTGTCACAATCATGCAATGTCTGACCCTTTCCCCATGTTGAAGCATATTGAAAAAAAGAGACTTACCTTGGACTTACCTTTCGTTGAAAAAACAAGACAACATTGTAAACATAAGGTATCCATACAACATATAATATCATCGTGTCATGAACAATATTAAAGGCATGATGCTGAAACAGGACAATGATATTTGTATGTTCTCGTCTTCAATGTCATGATCAAAATTATGGGAAGGAGAGTGGAACGGCACAAAAACTTTATGAGAACATTTCATTTGTCATTAAAAAGGCTATTAATCAATTTGAAAAAAGATTACAAACCCAACATATTTGCGATCTGGAAGTTTATTTAAAACCCACAATATCCAGTTTTGATGCGTTAATTATCACATTTATTACAAATATTACTGTGGAGACCCAACCTAACTCTCACACTCACAGCATGATCAACAATCTACAGCACAGAGTGATGACATATATATATCACATACAATCAGCCAAGCCTAATTTGAACAACCCAAACCTCAAGACAGTTTCTAAAACAAACATGGGGCAACCAAGACTTATTTTACCCCAAAATATCAAGGAGTTGACTTCTTCTAGGACTATCAACATGAGTGAGAGTCAGCAATGGCAGGCCTACCTTGACGGAGGAAGTTGCGGGAGAAGCTGGGCGGGTAGGGGTAGATGCGGATGAAGTCTGAGAGGAAGCTGGTGAGATGGAAGCCGTGGTTGAAGACGCAGGCCTCGCCGCTGAGGTATGTCTGGATGCAGCGCAGGTGGAAGTCGTGTGCGAAGGAGTGGACGTGGATCAGGTCCTTGCACTTCTCACACTCATCCACAAACAGCAGCCGCATCTGGCAACATGACGAACACAAGGCTATACAATATTATACGAATGAGGATCATAAAAAAGATCATAAGTCGAAGTTTAGATCTCAACATTGTTGATTGAACGTCAGCCTAAATACATAGACTGACATTCACCTATATCAGCCAACTCTCAAGGTCAAGCTCAAATATTTACAAATCTCACAACAAATTTTACACTTGAAAAGTTCTGTGAGTTATCTGTTTTTCTTTATTAACTTTTATGCTTTATACTTGATTTTTGAAGAGGGCATCACTTCATAACCAGCCCGTGACTCCCCAAGGCTTGCCCAGGGTCTTCAAAAAACTTCAACTGTCCATATGCCCACCTGTTGGTTGACTGGTGTTCCAAGACTCTGAGCATCAAAGACAAACATCTTGACACAGAAGTAGGCATCTCGAAACCCAATCTCCATCATCATGATGCCGGACTGGAACGTCTTCTGCAGGCTGAACACCGTACTTGACCTCCGGTCATCATCAAGCAGTGTAGCATGTCCGTCTGGGGGCACCACCTTGCTGTACCTGACACAAGACATGGGACACTTGTATCACAAACTGACACAATGCTAGCTATGTTCTAATGTAGCATGTCCGTCTGGGGGCACCACCTTGCTGTACCTGACACAAGACACGGGACACTTGTATCACAAACTGACACAATGCTAGCTATGTTCTAATGTAGCATGTCTGTCTGGGGGCACCACCTTGCTGTACCAGACACAAGACATGGGACACTTGTATCACAAACTGACACAATGCTAGCTATGTTCTAATGTAGCATGTCTGTCTGGGGGCACCACCTTGCTGTACCAGACAAAAGACACGGGACACTTGTATCACAAACTGACACAATGTTAGCTATGTTCTAATGTAGCATATCCGTCTGGGGGCATCACCTTGCTGTACCTGACACAAGACACCGGACACTTGTATCACAAACTGACACAATGTTAGCTATGTTCTAATGTAGCATGTCTGTCTGGGGGCACCACCTTGCTGTACCAGACACAAGACACGGGACACTTGTATCACAAACTGACACAATGCTAGCTATGTTCTAATGTAGCATGTCCATCTGAAGACATGACATACCCTAGAATCACCATGGGGCGGACAATAATCGAAGCAAAGAGAACATATCCATTCAACTTTCTACCACAAATCCTACCTCTTCTTTGACGGAGCATGCTGCACTTTGATGACAACAAACCCGAGGTCCTTCAGGTAGCTCTTGTACTGGTTGATGAAGCTGCGGCGGAGCTCAGCATGCCACGCCTCATCCAGGGAGGGGTCGGGGGGCTTGGGGCGGACCTCAGGAGAGTCCTGGGGAGTCACAGACTTCTTCCTCCCGTCCTGACTGTCAGAGCGTTTGGTTCTTAGGCTGGTTACCGAGGCCCCGGAACTGTGGCGAGACCGCTGGAATTGCAGGAGATGTGTTTTGGATCACAAAACAAAATAAAAGAAATACATTTTTATTCATTGTAACATTGTGTCCTTTTTTCAGTAAGTGTATTTAACAATATCTGTTGATATAATTACTTTCCTGAAATAGTTCCAACAAAAATATGGCAAGAATACGATAATAATTTCTTTAAAACTATTCATTAGAGTGTACATTTTAGGTGATCATTCCTTTCTTTTTATGATGTGATAATCAATATCAATTTGTTGGTAAAATGTCCACAAGACAAGCATGAGAAAAGCATGCTTCTTAGGACCTATGTGGTATGTTAAAACCGTTGGTGTTGCAATGGAGATAATTTCCATCAAGGCATGCATGTAAAATTGGTAAAGCACCAAGTGAGATTCCTGTCCAAAAATATTCAAATGGACAACGTAAAACACATATTAGAACATTTTCCAAAAGTCAGTTATTGTATTATTTGTGAGTAGGTTTTGGTGTAACACAGCTTTGAACAGTGAAGCCCAAAGTGATGTAGGACTTATTGTATTTAGCAAGAACAAGAGTATGATGCTGCCAAACCTAATAAACATAATCAGGACCAATAGTGTATTTAAACCCAAGATCATAGGTTCCTGGCATGCATAAGGGACATAACTCTGCATAGGAAATTGTGAAGCCCCCTAAAACTGTGCCTCCCATGCACCCCGCAGCTTTTGTCAAGTGGAGCGACCTTCTCCAATATCATTGCTATACACTGGGCCATTTGGAACATACAATCCATATTTTGTCATATTTGATAAAAAGCTCAAGGGCTTGGATATCATTTCTACCTTAGTCTTAGGGTGGCACAAAACACAAGTATAACCGGAAAAATCAAAATCATAATGTCATAAAAACAGGAAATCAGATAATCTCATTACGCTGACCTCCTTCAGAATGTCTTTGAAACATGCCCCAACCATGATGTTATCATGCACAAAGAGATTGTTCTGTTTGTTTGTTTGTTGGAAACGCCACACTCGGCAATATTCCAGCTATATGATGGCGGTCTGTAAATAATCGAGTATGGACCAGACAATACAGTGATTGACATCATGAGCATCAATCCACGCAGTTGGGATAAGATGACATGTATCAACCAAGTCAGCGAGCCTGACCTGATTCCGTTAGTAATTGCCTCTTACGACAAGCATAGCCGCCTTTTACGGCAAGCATGGGCTGCTGAAGACCTATTCTACCCCGGATCTTCACGGGTCCATGCACAAAGAGAATGTCACAATCTAACTAATAACATACTAACAGTGTTATCTATACAGATTATGAGCCGATTGTGTTTTGTGTCGTAAGTATAACATATTTGGAACAAATATTGTATTATGTGAACCTTTGGAGAGCATAATACACACTGTTTATGTCTAATATATGATATTTACGATACTGAAACACACAAGGGCAATAATCTCTTTATCATATAATGTCCTTCTTCAAATAATCAAAGTTCAAGACTAGAATCATTCATGAAAGTATCTTCAGAAATAGCGTAGGAATACACTGCCTGAGTGAACCGGTCCATATATTATATAGTGCCAAAGGACTGGCAGCCATGTTTGTTTAAGTAAGCACTTACACGGCGAGGAACGTAATTACAATTTGGGGAATGCTATGGTTTTTCAGAAAGATGGCATCACATTTATGTGTAGAGTGTATAAAGTAGTTCCTCTTGGATGACGTCATTTGCACATTTAACAGATCATGATACCAAATTTATCCAAATGGGTTTATTGCTTTGATAATACTATCCATTATATGATAAATCCATCTATGAACAATGTAGAGTCTACTCACTGAAGTAATGGGTATTCACAAATTAGTAGAATCTCCTGCTCACACTCAATGAACATAATTACATCAACAAAAACAGGGAACCAAGTCTTGGAGGACAAAATGAGAACATGTGACTCTAGAACTGAATACTGAGCACATGGATGTACCAGCTTCAAATGAAACGTAAGGCTGATGAGTGTCTAGCATGAGGACAACAGAGGTGTTTGATGACAGAACCACTGCAAGGAACGAAAGATTGGCAGCAATCTACAACGCTGACTTACTTCCCCAAAGTACTGCAACAAGGGCACATGTAGCCCACAGCTGGGACTACACTGAAATACACACACACACATCAGTCCACAGACAGCAGATCACGGGCTGTCGTATACCTCACTGAATAAACTGTTGAGACAGATGCCAGACAGTAGACTTTCACAAAAGAATTCTTTCAAAAATCATAAAGTGATCAAACTACAAATCTTTTATGTTGACCATCAACATCTAGTCGATCACGGCCATCAAGTGGTGACCAACTTATTCATTAACTTCAAATGATTTGATTAAAGCAGTAAAGCAATGTTTTGTTCATTTTATTAATATATTTGTTATAAAAAAGCAGATTATATATTTTATTCAATATCATTCTGAAGCATTAGTTCAGTTAAAAAGTTAATAAAAAAATAAAATGTTTGAAACCATCTTTATAGTGAGCACCATGGTGCAAGAAAATAACAGCACTTGTTCAACTTGTGAAAAAATGTTTGGAGGAAACCATCACCAATATTTGCATGAAGCCATAAATGTGAAACATCGAGTTACATGAAAATGTCTTTTTCTTGCACAAAATGCCAAACAGTCAAACAGTCAGACTTGATCAGACAAACTATCAGTGTGCAAGTAAGGCAATATTCTGTGTATGTATATATATATATAAATATATAACACCTTTATGATGTCACAATTGAAAAGTGATGTCACAATGAATTATTGCTACATTAGGACATGAAAATTGACACTTTTCACTTACAACTCACAAAAATAGAATATGTTGGGTTCAATTTGTACATGTAAACTTCACGCTATGACTTACATTAATTGACCAATCTACGACCAGGACAGCGATCACATACGTAACCAATACAAAATATCTGTTTACATCTCCCTTGGAAACCAGTAAAGGATAGTAATTCATCATACCATGCAAATTCCATGTACCATATGACTTCTTGCACTGGTATATCTGATTGAAATAACTGTTTATATTTGACAGAAATTATCATGATTATGAAACAAGTTTGCGAGTGTTGTACTGATTTTATGAAACAAAATAAGTTTGTATTTCCCAAGCAAAAGCAAGTATGACACTAATCAGCTTCACATGTAACCCTATACTCATCACTTTATAAGTAAACACTTTGTTCAGCATTCAATCAACTATTACAGACACCACAGTCATCACCAACCTACTGATGAAATTCAAATTCAAGAATATATCAATTTTTATGTAGAAGATTTGTAGCCTACAACTGTACCTTCCATTGAAGCCTCGACATGAAAGCTACTTACAGATTTGTAGCCTACAACTGTACCTTCCATTGAAGCCTCGACATGAAAGCTACTTACAGATTTGTAGCCTACAACTGTACCTTCCATTGAAGTCTCGACATGAAAGCTACTTACAGATTTGTAGCCTACAACTGTACCTTCCATTGAAGTGTCGACATGAAAGCTACTTACAGATTTGTAGCCTACAACTGTACCTTCCATTGAAGTGTCGACATGAAAGCTACTTACAGATTTGTAGCCTACAACTGTACCTTCCATTGAAGTCTCGACATGAAAGCTACTTACAGATTTGTAGCCTACAACTGTACCTTCCATTGAAGTCTCGACATCAAAGCTACTTACAGATTTGTAGCCTACAACTGTACCTTCCATTGAAGTCTCGACATCAAAGCTACTTCCAGATTTGTAGCCTACAACTGTACCTTCCATTGAAGTCTCGACATCAAAGCTACTTCCAGATTTGTAGCCTACAACTGTACCTTCCATTGAAGTCTCGACATGAAAGCTACTTACAGATTTGTAGCCTACAACTGTACCTTCCATTGAAGTCTCGACATGAAAGCTACTTACAGATTTGTAGCCTACAACTGTACCTTCCATTGAAGTCTCGACATAAAAGCTACTTACAGATTTGTAGCCTACAACTGTACCTTCCATTGAAGTCTCGACATGAAAGCTACTTACAGATTTGGATCCTTCTGGTTTCTCGGGAGGTGGACTCAGTGTGACTGTCGACTCCTGTCTCACCAAGGCCATGGGTTTCTCCACCACTCGCTGTCGCCATTGTGGGTGGAACAACAGGGGAGTGGCGCAGTAGTGGAACAGCCGAGAGGACTGCTTCAGCAGGAGTAGGTAGTCCTCCTGTATAGAGGGAGGACATTTGAGGACATTGAGGACAAGACAGCTGCAGACCCACAGGGGGACATTAGAACAACAGCGGGATGGCACAGTAGTGGAACAGCCGAGAGGACTGTTTCAGCAGGAGAAGGTAGTCCTGTACAGAGGGAGGACATTTGAGGACATTGAGGACAAGATAGCTGCAGACCCAGACTATTGTATATCTAGTCCAAAGTTTAAGAGCAATAGCAGTTGTAGCAATAAGAACAAAGTCACACAAGTCATGAGTGTCCGGCATTGGCCAGCTATTAATAATTGATGTGTCTGGATGGCACTCCTGGCACTGGATGGACAGATGATCACATATGAACTGTGGTCTGGATCTGTCATGAAACAGATGATATCTCCTTAAACAAGCACCCATCTTGGTCATCATGAGAGGTTTGGTTTGGTTTGTTGTTTAACCCCGCATTCAGCAATATTCCAGCTGTATGACGGTGGTCTGTAAATCATTGAGTCTGGACCAGACAGTCCAGTGATTGATATTATGAGCATCAATCCATGCAATTGGGATCGATGACACGCATCAACCAAGTCAGCGCCTCTTACGACAAGCACAGTTGCCTGTTACGGCAAGCATGGGTTGCTGAAGACCTATTCTATCCCAGATCTTCACGGGTACGTCATGAGAGGAATGAGACTATTTACTTTCTACATTACACAGCAGACTCTAACAGGATTTTACACTGACTACAAGAGTGGGGGTCCAGGGGACCCACAATAATTATTTTTAAGGGTCTCGCAGGCAATATAAGGGTCCTGTAGAGTTATGAAATGGCGTTGTGTACAGTGCGTTTTAATAATAACTTTAGAGCCAGGAATGAATCAATGATCATGTGGACAGTGATCATGATTGATGGATGAAATGACAAGCACCCATAACTGTTCTTGATGTGCTGTAGGTACAATGAATATTCTTGTGTGTCCCTCGGGACGCAGTATATTCTTTTTCTTCATCCAATCTGAACATTTGTGCATAAAACCCTGCTCTTAGCATACTTGTCCTGAAGTTAATTTCTAATGTAAATGTAAAACATGGCACTAGATCACAAACAGAAAAGCTTACAGAGACTGGTGGGTTAGCAACATTCTTCTGTAACCATCCCACATACAGCTGCCTCAGCTTGCCCAGTCGGTCAGTGTCTGAAACAAAATATCCCACATCAAATCGACACTGTCACCGTTCAAGGTTCTTTGAAGAAACGTACCAGTAGTTAGATCTACACATCATTCACACAAAGTTTTGTCACAATTTTCTCTTTTTTTTTTAATATTTCACTTTGGTTCAAGATTAGGTCGCTAGAAATAGATATTTAACCTTGAAACAAAATATTATTTCCTTGCACTCTCAAATAGACAATGGGAAACCCTGATGATAAAAGACAAGCTGACTTCATTCGAAAAATATTCTTTATTGATAATAGCCGATCTTTTGTTCAACAACAAAGATATTATAAGGTCATTTATATGCCGGTCCACAGGGACTGACGGTCACATGAAATATGTGTCCAAGCCTAATAAACCTAATATTCAAGCCGGGAATAAACAGGTAATTACCAGTAAACAGGAACACTGGAGACCTTTTGTTTTCTCTTAGTTGGATTATGAAGCTGACTGACTTTAAGAGAACTGGTTGACAGACAAAGATGAGATACTGGATACATGATACATGTAGTTATTCTTAGTGAGGTCATTACGCAAAAACAAGGACCTGGGGACCCAGTGTAGAACACAAGACTATCTACAGCCTCCCTGATCATGAACAAACCCTGCACCTCACCTCTCCGACACTGGCTGCGTATATCTTGGGCCTGCTTGCCGTGCACGGACACAGGGTCCCGCAGAGACATGAGGGTGGTGTTCTGTAGTGGGCGGGGCGGCTGCAGATTCTTGTATGTCTTGTCGAACGGTCTGAAGATGCTCATCATACGAGAGATGCCGCGGTCGCGGGCTGACATGCTGCTGTGTCGACGCTGGGTGTCACGCTGCGGTGGGGCCTGGTGCTTGATAAGACTGTCGAAGTCGGACAGCTGGCTGACATCCTGGTGGGAGTAAACAAACATGAAACAGGAGTAGACTTAACAACATTTCCATTGAGAGTGCCAATTAACCAGACCATAAAGAATATGACAATGACTGAAAAAAATAATGAAAATCACAATATTGTGGGAAACACAGATAGGGTCAAATTATTGTTGGCAACACAGGGAGGGTAACATTATTGTAGGTAACACAGGGTCAAATTATTGTGGGCAACACAGGGTCACATTATTGTAGGAAACACAGGGTCACATTATTGTAGGCAACACAGGGTCAAATTATTGTGGGCAACATAGGGAGGGTCACATTATTGTAGGCAACACAGGGTCACATTATTGTGGGCAACACAGGGTCACATTATTGTAGACAATATACAGTCACATTATTGTGGGCAAGACAGGGAGGGTCACATTATTGTAGGCGACACAGGGTCACATTATTGTAGACAATACACAGTCACATTATTGTGGGCAACACAGGGTCACATTATTGTAGGCAACAAAGGGGGGTAATATTATTGTAGACAACACAGGGTCACATTATTGTGGGCAACACAGAGTCACATTATTGTAGACAACACAGGGTCACATTATTGTAGACAATACACAGTCACATTATTGTGGGCAACACAGGGTCACATTATTGTAGGCAACAAAGGGGGGTAATATTATTGTAGACAACACAGGGTCACATTATTGTAGACAACACAGGGTCACATTATTGTAGGCAACACAGGGGGGTAATATTATTGTAGACAACACAGGGTCACATTATTGTGGGCAACACATAGTCACATTATTGTAGACAACACAGGGTCACATTATTGTAGACAACACAGAGTCACATTATTGTGGGCAACACAGGGTCACATTATTGTAGACAACACAGGGTCACATTATTGTAGGCAACACAGGGAGGTAATATTATTGTAGACAACACAGGGTCACATTATTGTAGACAAGTATTTGTCACAGAGTGACGAAATATCCCCCGCCATATACACCATAGTACCAAATATGAAGACAATCCAGCGATTAGTTCTTGAGATATTGTGGCAACACCGTTTTCCAACTCCAAAAACAGATTTGCCTGCTGTGACCTTGAAAATGGGGTCAAGGTCACCAAATCTGACAGGTGTATGCGGTGTCTGTATATACACTATAGTTCCAAATATGAAGACAATCCAGCGATTAGTTCTTGAGATATCGCGGCAACACCGTTTTCTAACTCCAAAAGCAGATTTGCCTGCTGTGACCTTGAAAATGGGGTCAAGGTCACCAAAACCGACTGGTGTCTGCGGTGTCTGTATATACACCATAGTTCCAAATATGAAGACAATCGAGAGGTTTAGTTCTTGAGATATCGCGGCAACACCGTTTTCCAACTCTAAAAGCAGATTTGCCTGCTGTGACCTTGAAAATGGGATCAAGGTCACCAAAACCGACTGGTGTCTGCGGAGTCTGTATATACACTATAGTTCCAAATATGAAGACAATCCAGTGTTTAGTTCTTGAGATATCGCGGCAACACCGTTTTCCAACTCCAAAAGCAGATTTGCCTGCTGTGACCTTGAAAATGGGGTCAAGGTCACCAAAACCGACTGGTGTCTGCGGTGTCTGTATATACACCATAGTTCCAAATATGAAGACAATCCAGTGTTTAGTTCTTGAGATATCGCGGCAACACCGTTTTCCAACTCTAAAAGCAGATTTGTCTGCTGTGACCTTGAAAATGGGGTCAAGGTCACCAAAACCGACTGGTGTCTGCGGAGTCTGTATATACACCATAGTTCCAAATATGAAGACAATCCAGTGTTTAGTTCTTGAGATATCGCGGCAACACCGTTTTCCAACTCTAAAAGCAGATTTGTCTGCTGTGACCTTGAAAATGGGATCAAGGTCACCAAAACCGACTGGTGTCTGCGGAGTCTGTATATACACTATAGTTCCAAATATGAAGACAATCCAGTGTTTAGTTCTTGAGATATCGCGGCAACAAACAGGTGGGACGTACGGACGGACGTACGGACGGACGTACGGACGGACGGACGTACGGACGGTCGTGAATACTATATCCCCCGCTTCGCGCTTTCGCGCGGCGGGGGATAACAACACAGAGTCACATTATTGTGGGCAACACAGAGTCACATTATTGTAGACAACACAGGGTCACATTATTGTAGGCAACACAGGGAGGTAAATTATTGTAGGCAACACAGGGTCACATTATTGTGGGCAACACAGGGCCACATTATTGAAGACAACACAGGGTCACATTATTGTGGGCAACACAGAGTCACATTATTGTAGGCAACACAGGGTCACATTATTGTGGGCAACACAGGGTCACATGATTGTGGGCAACACAGGGTCACATTATTGAAGACAACACAGGGTCACATTATTGTGGGCAACACAGGGAGGTAAATTATTGTAGGCAACACAGGGTCACATTATTGTGGGCAACACAGGGCCACATTATTGAAGACAACACAGGGTCACATTATTGTGGGCAACACAGAGTCACATTATTGTAGGCAACACAGGGTCACATTATTGTGGGCAACACAGGGTCACATGATTGTGGGCAACACAGGGTCACATTATTGAAGACAACACAGGGTCACATTATTGTGGGCAACACAGAGTCACAATATTGTAGGCAGCACAGGGAGATAAATTATTGTAGGCAACACAGGGTGGCATTATTTTAGTCAACAAAGGGAGGTAACATTATTGTGGGCAACACAGGGAGGTAACATTATTGTGACTACTCTTGCAACAATCATGGGGTAATGGGCTCAATAGACTTGATCCCCAACAAGAGATGCTACCATATGATCCAAACAAATGATGCGAACAGATGTTAACATATATTATGCTGACAGATCCTGATAAAAGATATTAACAGGTTTTACTAACAGATTACACTAGCATATTATGCTAACATATCACGCTAACAGATTACACTAACAGATTACTTTAACAGATTATGCTAACAGATTACACTAACAGATTACGTTAACAGATTACGCTAACAGATTACGCTAACAGATTACGTACACTAACAGATCACGCTAACAGATGATGTTCACTGACTGTGCAAACTTAGGCTGATGATGTTAACAGATGCTGTACCTGGGTGTTGGTGACATCGGAGAAGGAGTTGTGGTGGAAGAGTCCGAGTTTCTGGCTGATGATGCTGCCCAGCACCTGGCTTCGGTCATTGTTCCACTTGACCAGCTTGTTGATCCTCTCCTCCAGGTGGGATGTCACGTCTCCGGCCCAGTTGTACGTGTACACCCACAGCTGAAGGCAAACCTCACAGTTAGGAGTCATCAGTACATCTGTGAGTACCACGTACCATATATCCCAGTTGTACGTGTACACCCACAGCTGAAGGCAAACCTCACAGTTAGGAGTCATCAGTACATCTGTGAGTACCACGTACCATATATCCCAGTTGTACGTGTACACCCACAGCTGAAGGCAAACCTCACAGTTAGGAGTCATCAGTACATCTGTGAGTACCACGTACCATATATCCCAGTTGTACGTGTACACCCACAACTGAAGGCAAACCTCACAGTTAGGAGTCATCAGTACATCTGTGAGTACCACGTACCATATATCCCAGTTGTACGTGTACACCCACAGCTGAAGGCAAACCTCACAGTTAGGAGTCATCAGTACATCTGTGAGTACCAGGTACCATATATCCCAGTTGTACGTGTACACCCACAGCTGAAGGCAAACCTCACAGTTAGGAGTCATCAGTACATCTGTGAGTACCACGTACCATATATCCCAGTGGTATGTGTACACCCACAGCTGAAGGCAAACCTCACAGTTAGGAGTCATCAGTACATCTGTGAGTACCACGTACCATATATCCCAGTTGTACGTGTACACCCACAGCTGAAAGCAAACCTCACAGTTAGGAGTCATCAGTACATCTGTGAGTACCACGTACCATATATCCCAGTTGTACGTGTACACCCACAGCTGAAGGCAAACCTCACAGTTAGGAGTCATCAGTACATCTGTGAGTACCACGTACCATATATCCCAGTTGTACGTGTACACCCACAGCTGAAAGCAAACCTCACAGTTAGGAGTCATCAGTACATCTGTGAGTACCACGTACCATATATCCCAGTTGTACGTGTACACCCACAGCTGAAGGCAAACCTCACAGTTAGGAGTCATCAGTACATCTGTGAGTACCACGTACCATATATCCCAGTTGTACGTGTACACCCACAGCTGAAGGCAAACCTCACAGTTAGGAGTCATCAGTACATCTGTGAGTACCACGTACCATATATCCCAGTTGTACGTGTACACCCACAGCTGAAGGCAAACCTCACAGTTAGGAGTCATCAGTACATCTGTGAGTACCACGTACCATATATCCCAGTTGTACGTGTACACCCACAGCTGAAGGCAAACCTCACAGTTAGGAGTCATCAGTACATCTGTGAGTACCACGTACCATATATCCCAGTTGTACGTGTACACCCACAGCTGAAGGCAAACCTCACAGTTAGGAGTCATCAGTACATCTGTGAGTACCACGTACCATATATCCCAGTTGTACGTGTACACCCACAGCTGAAGGCAAACCTCACAGTTAGGAGTCATCAGTACATCTGTGAGTACCACGTACCATATATCCCAGTTGTACGTGTACACCCACAGCTGAAGGCAAACCTCACAGTTAGGAGTCATCAGTACATCTGTGAGTACCACGTACCATATATCCCAGTTGTACGTGTACACCCACAGCTGAAGGCAAACCTCACAGTTAGGAGTCATCAGTACATCTGTGAGTACCACGTACCATATATCCCAGTTGTACGTGTACACCCACAGCTGAAGGCAAACCTCACAGTTAGGAGTCATCAGTACATCTGTGAGTACCACGTACCATATATCCCAGTTGTACGTGTACACCCACAGCTGAAGGCAAACCTCACAGTTAGGAGTCATCAGTACATCTGTGAGTACCACGTACCATATATCCCAGTTGTACGTGTACACCCACAGCTGAAGGCAAACCTCACAGTTAGGAGTCATCAGTACATCTGTGAGTACCACGTACCATATATCCCAGTTGTACGTGTACACCCACAGCTGAAGGCAAACCTCACAGTTAGGAGTCATCAGTACATCTGAGAGTACCACGTACCATATATCCCAGTTGTACGTGTACACCCACAGCTGAAGGCAAACCTCACAGTTAGGAGTCATCAGTACATCTGTGAGTACCACGTACCATATATCCCAGTTGTACGTGTACACCCACAGCTGAAGGCAAACCTCACAGTTTGGTCATTGAAAGGCATTTAAAAGTGATACACATATCAGGAAGATGGATGTCAGCTTCTTTATTATGAGTGAGTGAGTGAGTATGGTTTTACGCCGCTTTTAGCAATATTCAAGCAAAATCACGGCGGGGGACACCAGAAATTGGCTTCACACATTGTACCCATGTCGGGAATAGAACCAGGGTCTTCGGCGTGACGAGCAAACGCTTTAACCACTAGGCTACCCGACCGCCCCTCTTTATTATGAGAAACACTTATGTCATAATAAAGAAGTTGACACCATCAGTACATCTGTGAGTACCACATACCATATATTGCAATGCTGACAACAGCAACTGTTTAAATATGGATCACGGTAAGTGTTGCCATGTATCAATGTTCGAACGAAATATATCGTTCTATATACTGTACCGCAACCTACTAGGTAATATATTGGCAGTATATCATATCAATAAAGTAAATATTGCTAAATAGTTTATAGTGACCTTGTTATGACTCCTAGCTCTATACTCTATATGTTGAGATTAAATCCCATTTCAGTGAGTGAGTGAATGAATTCTGCTTAGCTCTTACAAGGTGTGATTTGTAGGGGGAAGGCCTGAAGTTACACCTATAGTAGATATTAACAATTTTGGTGACACTTAGATGCATGAGGACGACAAACGAAAGATCATTACAAGGGCAGATCATGAATTCAAGCTGTTCCTGACACAGTTAAGGGATGCAACTCTGCACAGCAAATTTCTGTGCCTTGGGCATTTGGAACACCAGGATGTACCAGGATTACGGAAACCAGTCTGTGTGCTGGACTTGTCCGATTGTGACTGCAAAATGACTGATTTGAAATAGGGCAAACCATACATTTTAAAAAATGCTAACAGGACATTTTCAAAAAAAAGTATCAGCACGATAGGTTGAAATTGTATATATTAGGTCTATGTGTCATTGAATTTGTTAATAAATTGTATATATATCTAGTATATATATATATATGTTATGAAAGTAACAAGTTTATTCTTTTAATTCATGCATAAACATCCAGCACCTCAGATATGAGGTGGCCATGACCAAAATGAAAATGTCCGATTGGAAAAAACATATTTCCTGATCCCTGCTATGCACCCTAAAAATTGAAGTCATTAGATAATAATATACTGGCAGAAAATTTCAATGACACAATTTCCCCTTAACACTAACACAGCTACATGATCACATCCCACCTGTCTGATCCTAACACTAACACAGCTACATGATCACATCCCACCTGTCTGATCCTAACACTAACACAGCTACATGATCACATCCCACCTGACTGATCCTAACACTAACACAGCTACATGATCACATCCCACCTGTCTGATCCTAACACTAACACAGCTACATGATCACATCCCACCTGTCTGATCCTAACACTAACACAGCTACATGATCACATCCCACCTGTCTGATCCTAACACTAACACAGCTACATGATCACATCCCACCTGTCTGATCCTAACACTAACACAGCTACATGATCACATCCCACCTGTCTGATCCTAACACTAACACAGCTACATGATCACATCCCACCTGTCTGATCCTAACACTAACCCAGCTACATGATCACATCCCACCTGTCTGATCCTAACACTAACACAGCTACATGATCACATCCCACCTGTCTGATCCTAACACTAACACAGCTACATGATCACATCCCACCTGTCTGATCCTAACACTAACACAGCTACATGATCACATCCCACCTGTCTGATCCTAACACTAACACAGCTACATGATCACATCCCACCTGTCTGATCCTAACACTAACACAGCTACATGATCACATCCCACCTGTCTGATCCTAACACTAACACAGCTACATGATCACATCCCACCTGTCTGATCCTAACACTAACACAGCTACATGATCACATCCCACCTGTCTGATCCTAACACTAACACAGCTACATGATCACATCCCACCTGACTGATCCTAACACTAACCCAGCTACATGATCACATCCCACCTGTCTGATCCTAACACTAACACAGCTACATGATCACATCCCACCTGTCTGATCCTAACACTAACACAGCTACATGATCACATCCCACCTGTCTGATCCTAACACTAACACAGCTACATGATCACATCCCACCTGTCTGATCCTAACACTAACACAGCTACATGATCACATCCCACCTGTCTGATCCTAACACTAACACAGCTACATGATCACATTCCACCTGTCTGATCCTAACACTAACACAGCTACATGATCACATCCCACCTGTCTGATCCTAACACTAACACAGCTACATGATCACATCCCACCTGTCTGATCCTAACACTAACACAGCTACATGATCACATCCCACCTGTCTGATCCTAACACTAACACAGCTACATGATCACATCCCACCTGACTGATCCTAACACTAACACAGCTACATGATCACATCCCACCTGACTGATCCTAACACTAACACAGCTACATGATCACATCCCACCTGTCTGATCCTAACACTAACACAGCTACATGATCACATCCCACCTGTCTGATCCTAACACTAACACAGCTACATGATCACATCCCACCTGTCTGATCCTAACACTAACACAGCTACATGATCACATCCCACCTGACTGATCCTAACACTAACACAGCTACATGATCACATCCCACCTGTCGATCCTTGATGAAGATGATGAGAAGCCTCTGCCTTGGGACGAAGGGGTTCTCCAGGGTCAAGGTGAATCTGCCGAGTTCCTGACTCTTCGCTCCGTCGGCAGACAAGAGAGGTTGGAACTTCTGGACTGTCTGGTAGGCTGTGATGGAAAATAGGAAAGATCTTACAACTACTGTATTGTTCCTATTTATCTATAATTGTAAAAAAGACATTTTAATCTTTCAACTCATGATCTCTGGTGAAATGTTTTGTTATTACTGTAAAACATAAACTAAATGGGAGTGTTAAATATTTTTATAACACATTTTAAGTTCATCTGCAGTCATAAAATCATAGCCTATTTTCGAAACTCAGACAACTGATAAGTGCAAAAGCATTTCACACTTTTTTTGCCTCAAATATCAGCACACTAGCATCTAGAATGTATATTGTTTTTGGAAAGATGAAAATTTATCTCATGTCGTTTGTTTGTTGTTCATTTTTTAACGCCGCATTCAGCACTATTCCTGCTATATGACCCCGGTCTGTAAATAATCGAGTCTGGAATAGACAATCCAGTGATTGACATCATGACCATTGATCTACACAATTGGGTATGATGACATGCATCAACCAAGTCAGCGAGCCTGACCGCCCGATCCCGTTAGTTGCCTCTTACAACAAGCATAGTCATCTCTTAAGGCAAGCATGGGTTGCTTAAGATTTATTCTACCCCGGATCTTCACGGGCATATCTATATGAGGTAAATATATATACTACTCAAAAGAAGTTAGAGAACAACACATTTTTCCATATGACTAGTAACTCTGTCATGCAATGTCAGATTAAGTATTGCATATACAAAATTTTGAGTTTCAGAAACATTTTTTCAATCCAAGACCCTCTTTCCATGAAGTGATCTTAGCGCTATGACGTTAGTCTGTGTCAATCATAACCCACTTACTTCAATACAGACTAATGTCAGTCGTAGCGCTAAGATGTGCCTGGGGAACAGTGCAAGCAAGAGAATGGAAGCTGGCAGTTTTACAAACTCACTTTTCGTGACAGGTGTTGACGTAAATGGTGGCTGGTCCATCACAGAGCCATCATACACAAACGTCTTCCACTGTTCAACATCTCGACCAATCAGAATGAAGTCCATCGACCTCTGACGTGACACATTCATATCAAGTGAAGTCTCCAGGGATGAGTGAGGCTGTCGAGTAGGCACATTTAGACAAGTTACATCAGATGAGTTACATCAGACGAGTTACATCATATGAGTCAGGCTGTCGAGTACATGCATTTAGACGAGATACATCAGACGAAAGAGGCTGTCGAGTACACACATTTAGACAATATATATCAGACGAGTCAGGCAGTTGAGTACACACATTGAGATGAGTTACATCAGACTTGTATGTTTCAAAAGTTACATACACCAATCATCCACCTACACGTGAATACACATGTCATGCAGCATGGTCAACAGTCACTTCAGGTTCAACAAGTCAAAACTGACCTCACATATTTATTCATCACCTAATTATCTGGTGTACTGTATCTCCATTCTATTTACACTAAACACTATACCCATTCACCACCATTGCTTCACCTTCAGAAGTGACATCACCAGCTCCAACTCTCCTATCACTAACCTACCACAGAGTGTCCCTCACTCACCAGCTCCAACTCTCCTATCACTAACCTACAACAGAGTGTCCCTCACTCACCAGCTCCAACTCTCCTATCACTAACTTACCACAGAGTGTCCCTCACTCACCAGCTCCAACTCTCCTATCACTAACCTACCACAGAGTGTCCCTCACTCACCAGCTCCAACTCTCCTATCACTAACCTACCACTGAGTGTCCCTCACTCACCAGCTCCAACTCTCCTATCACTAACCTACCACAGAGTGTCCCTCACTCACCAGCTCCAACTCTCCTATCACTAACCTACCACAGAGTGTCCCTCACTCACCAGCTCCAACTCTCCTATCACTAACCTACCACAGAGAGTCCCTCACTCACCACCTCCAACTCTCCTATCACTAACCTACCACAGAGTGTCCCTCACTCACCAGCTCCAACTCTCCTATCACTAACCTACCACAGAGTGTCCCTCACTCACCAGCTCCAACTCTCCTATCACTAACCTACCACAGAGTGTCCCTCACTCACCAGCTCCAACTCTCCTATCACTAACTTACCACAGAGTGTCCCTCACTCACCAGCTCCAACTCTCCTATCACTAACCTACCACAGAGTGTCCCTCACTCACCAGCTCCAACTCTCCTATCACTAACCTACCACAGAGTGTCCCTCACTCACCAGCTCCAACTCTCCTATCACTAACTTACACCACAGAGCGTCCCTCACTCACCAGCTCCAACTTTCCTATCACTAACTTACCACTGAGTGTCCCTCACTCACCAGCTCCAACTCTCCTATCACTAACCTACCACAGAGTGTCCCTCACTCACCAGCTCCAACTCTCCTATCACTAACCTACCACAGAGTGTCCCTCACTCACCAGCTCCAACTCTCCTATCACTAACTTACCACAGAGTGTCCCTCACTCACCAGCTCCAACTCTCCTATCACTAACCTACCACAGAGTGTCCCTCACTCACCAGCTCCAACTCTCCTATCACTAACCTACCACAGAGTGTCCCTCACTCACCACCTCCAACTCTCCTATCACTAACTTACACCACAGAGCGTCCCTCACTCACCAGCTCCAAGTCTCCTATCACTAACCTACCACAGAGCGTCCCTCACTCACCAGCTCCAACTCTCCTATCACTTACTTACCACAGCATGTCCCTCACTCACCAGCTTGAAGGAGTGAATGAGTGAGTGAGTTGGGTTTAACGCCGCTTTTAACAGTATTCCAGTTATATCGCGGCGTGTCAGCTTAATGTGGGAGGAAAGCCCGAAGTGATGCAGGTCTCTGACATTTACCACTTCGGAGAAACCCACGAGCAAGGGTATGGTGCTGACAAACCTTGAAACATAATCGGGCGAACCGGGATTCGAACCCACAAGCCTAGGTTTCTGGCGTACCCAAGGGACGCAACTCTGCACAGCGAATCGCGGCGCCTTAGACGACTGGGCCACCCGTGCCCCCGACCTTGAAGGAGAGTTCCAGCATAGATCTACATTCAAAATAATAGCTTCTTCCAAGAGAGCCCTCAATGTATTTAAACGCATCACAAGACAGTCATGAATGATGTTTCAGCAGCAAAACATGTTCAGTCCCAATTCTACAAGACGTTCCAGTTGTATTTGTGATGGCACACAACAATGGAGACAAGGATATTGGTGTTAGTGATGCCTGATTGAAACTGGCCTCAAAAACAAAGCTGAGGTGAATATTGGTCCCAGGGTATATATCATAAGAGAATGGAGATATGATACACTGGATAACTGAGGATGGTGTTTAGTCCAGCTGACATCAACATGTCTAGAAGGAGCTAAACCAGCTTCAGCCTAAGACTTTGCCAGGACGAGACATGGTTAACTGTCCCTGAAGCCACCCTGAATCCCTCCTTGAAACATGGGTCATGATGAGTTAAGTAATCATACCTGCACTGGGTGCCGACATGGATGGTAGGGGATGCCCTCCAGTGGGGCGTCCGTGCTGCGTCCCTTGACGATCTTGAAGGCGCGGGGGACGATGGTGGGGGACAGGTCCTTGATGATGCTCTGTACTTCATACATCACGTAGTCCACGGAGTAGCGGGACAGTAGGTTCAGGTGACACCGGAACACAGACGGAGCACCTGCAGGGAGGTCAGAGGTTACTACGTCACTAAGGGCAAGGTTGAGGACTGAGAGTAACTGAATGATTGACATGTGAACAAGGGTCATGAGATGATGCACTACAACTCTTCTATTCCGATGCCTTTCTCCATTAAGAGAACAAACAGTGCAGAGGAGGTCATGTCTGGTCAGCCATCTTTACTAATGTTTTTTACGAAGAAATTAACAAGAACTAAAAGATATTCTTATGTAATTGACTGAAAGAGATGTCTTCAATCATCGATTTATATAGGATTTTAAACTAAGTGCCTTTGGCGGGAAAATTGGGGAAAAATCATGATGTTGTTCAAAACATGATTATTTCAATGTTCTTATTATTGTAAATTCTGAAGAATAGGGACATTTTTACTTCCAGACTTGGAGCCAATTATCGGCCTCTGACCAGGTCTAGATAAATCCCTGGAAATGGTGTGATGTATTCACAACATGCACCTATTATTATTTTCGATTCAGAACAACCTCTTTTGTTTGTTTTCGAGATCTTGATATCATATAGATGCTGGCCCAAATGCTACACTTGCGTGTAAACATGATTAACCAAGCAGCACCAGCAATACTAAGGCAATGAGTCCTCTATCCTGGCAAACAGACAATTAATTATCACAGAAGTCGGATCAGTCAATAGTCACCCATTTGACAAGACAGCAGTGGTCGATAGAGCAAGCAAATATCCACACTGCTGTGGAACAGTGACACAGAAATGTTCAGGTCATAGCTGAGAGCTGGTCCTCTCTGAAGGTCAAACATCCGATTACTGACCATACACAACAGCCATTGTGTCCTGCCAATCCCCCCATCTTACATGTGACAGGCATGTATAACTTGGTGTTTCACAGAGACACAAGACATGGAGTCATGCGTTTTTGAGCATCAGCTTTTTTCGAACCCCTTAACAATACATAACTATGTGCTTAATCACTTAATCGAGGTAGACGCTTGAAAGCCCACTGAAGACATCAAAGTGTTCGCCACTTGCCGCTGAAGTTACAGTTTTCCATTCACTGTCTCGAATACGGAAGACAGCCAAACTGCACAAGAAATATCTGCCTGGCACTATTCACTGAGTAAGGCATGATAATCAAAGATGATGTTTGTTTTTGTTTGTTGTTTAACACCATTATCAGCAATATTCCTGATAAATGAGGACAGCCTGTTAATAACCATATATCGACCAGACAATCCAGTGATTGAAATTACGAACAACATAATCATGTCAAGTGTAAAATGACATGAAATCAAGCAAGTCGCTGAGCTTGACCAAACATTTCATTCAGTCATCTCTTACGACAAACACAGGGTGCTGTTGACCTGTTCTAACCTGGAATCCCCACGGGCCAAAGACAACACAGCAGAGTGTGTGTGAGTGAGTGAGTTGGGTTTAACACTGCTTTTAACAGTATTCCAGTTATATCACTGGATATGTGTCAGCTTAATGTGAGAGGAAAGCCCAAAGTGATGCAGGTTTCAGACGTTTACCACTTCGGTGAAACGCACAAGCACCGGTATGGTGCAGACAAACCTAGAAACATAATTGGGGCGAACCCGGATTCAAACCCACAATCATAGGTTTCTGGCGTACCCAATTCTGCACAGCGAATTGTGGCGCCTTAGACGTCTGGGCCACCCGTGCCCCCACAACACAGCAGAAGATAAATAATCCTCCCTGACTCCTGAAACAGATAGGACTTCCCCCCTACCCAGTTTGTTGCAGTAAGCCAGCCACGGGTCCATGAGCATGGTGAAGACATTGTTCAGTGACCCCCGCTCTCCATCCTCGTACTTGGTGACGAGGTCCTTCAGCCCCGAGTCTGCCATCAGACTGGAGGAGTCTGGTCCCATCCCGAACCCAGCAGACGGAGTGTTGGGCTGGGTGGTGGACTGCACCGACACCCAGTCGAAGGACTGAAAGAAGAAATGAAAGCTAATTCTTTTTAAGGATACAAGTATTCTGGATTAAAAGCATTTCACTTTTTCATAGATAATTTTATAATATAAATATTTAATTTTCTAATTTTATGTTCGGATTAAAAAAAAGAAATGGATGGTAACCATGTTTCCATGCCAGATGATGTTCTTCTCCAATATTCACAAGACATGCTATTCTAAGGAATAAAGGATTTTGTTTGTTGCTTAACACCACACTCAGCTATATTCAAGCTATATGACGGCGGTCTGTAAATAATCAAGTCTGGACCAGACAATCCAGTGATTAACATCATGCGTATCGATCCATGCAGTTGGGTTGGATGATATGCATCAACCAAGTCAGCGAGCCTGGCCACCCGATCCCATTAGTCGCCTTTTACGACAAGCTTAGTCGCCTTTTATGGCAAGCATGGGTTGCTGAAGACCTATTCTACCCAGGATCTTAAGGAACATACATGCTTTATCAACATTTATGCAAAAAACTATTTTATCAGTAATAGTAACTGTTTACAAGGTGCAGCTGAAATGTTTATCTTTGAAACAATGATATGATTGCCTCATTTAATGAATACTGTGATTAGTTATCCACTACCAGGAGTGTCTATTGTGATCCACTGAAAGTATTCACGTATTTGGTCATATTTTTAACTACAGCGATTAATGATCGGTCAATGATCATGATGAAGGAAAAATCATAAATTTGAAGCTTTCTCTTGCAGCATCCTTAATGGAATAAAAAATTAATACAATTGCAAAACTCTCAGATAATATATTATTATACTACATATTCATTAACACGATGCAGTATAAATGGAAACAATATACAACTCAGTTTTCGATTGGGATAATCAGAAAATATCAGTCTGCTTAAATATACACTTGACATGCTATGAGAATCGGTTTTGAGTCTCATGGAAAGAAGAAAATACCCCTATCAAAGTGGTGTAGTATAGATCATAGATTGCAAGATTCATGCCTTGGAAACTGAAACCAATCATTTTGTTTGTTTGTTTGTTTGTTTGTTTGTTCATTGTTTAATGCCACACTCAGCAATATCCCAGCTATATGATGGTGGTCTGTGAATAATCGAGTCTGGACCAGACAATCCAATGATTCATATCATGAGCATCGATCCATGCAGTTGGGATACGATAACATGCATCATCCAAGTCAGCAAGCCTGATCATTCCAACCCCGTTAGTCGCCTCTAACGACAAGCATAGTCGCCTTTTACGGCAAGGATGGGTTGTAACCAATCAATCATAGATGACATCGATAAGTGGAACAACACTACAAAGTACAATACAGAACAACAAGCTAGTCACTCCACAGATCTCTGACCAACAAGTCTATACACATCAACAGTTCCAGAGCTGTCTATGTTGCCAGGCCAAGAAAGTTAGTATCAACCACAAATGGTCTAGTCACTATTGATCTAGGTCCATTCAAGTTAGTATCAGTTTCAAATCACTCTCAATCACTCTTCTTCCATTAATATAAGCTTAAAGTTAGTAGGGGTGACTATTGGTCTGGAAATCACTATTGCCATAACTATTGATATTGAAAGAAACTATTGCGATAACTATTGATATTGCAAGCAACTATTGTGATACATATCGACAGTTTTCAGTGTGTCATTTTAGATGGATTTTAGAGTTGAATTAAACCTTGGAACTGAAGTTTCCTTTGAATGTGATAACCACAACAAATAATAAGTAAAGTTTGAGATATGACTGATTTGTTATTTCTTTACCCTAATAATTTAAGAAAAAGAAACTTCCACATTAGCATGTGTAAATTACTACCACTCATGATCAAAAGAAACAAAATTTTAAACAGCATTGCATGTTTTTTATTTTACATGGTAAATACAATCGAAACTTTTGATATTCCTGAATGAAATCGATACTATTGATCGGAAACTTATTTAAGAATCGATTTATTGACTTTAAGAGCTTACCAATAGCAATATATCGATATTTCGATATATCGTGACACCCCTAAAAGTTAGTAACAACGAACACAAGTCCATCTCTACAGTTGTTACCATGCCTTGGATATTAGTGTCAGCCACCAGCAGTCTAGCCACTACAATTCTATATCTGTGTGTGTTACCTTGCCAAGGTCAGGAGGGGGAGAGGTCATGCGAACCTTGGGGTCAGCCTTGGCGACGATGCCCTTGAGTGACATGAAGGGGGATGCCGACTGGGGGACGGCCGGCAGACCGGTGTTCATCCTCACGGCATCCGATGCCCGGCGACTGATGATGGAATGGCGCCGATCACGTGTCTCACTGGGAGGGTCTGGTTTGATAGAGATATGAGCAAAACATAAATGAATGGGTGAGTCCTTGTGCGTGTTGCAAGCCACGAATCACTTAGAGTAAGTAAAGTAATCACTTATCCCTGGTTCTGCAAAGCCCTTGCGCACTCTTCCAAAATGGTGCGTGACTACCACTTGGTTGCCTTGCCTTAATGAAAAACATAATATAAGAGGCTCAATGACAAGCTGATAAATTTGGACTACTTTGAAGATGTGGAGCAGCCTGGGACTCTGGGATGTTATCTGGTTTTGCCAGGTACACTAGTCAAGAATTTCTTGTTCGGCTGTCAAACTCAAATTTCCTTCAGACGCCATGTTGGTTTGAGAACTAAGCAACTCAGCCAGTAATTGGTATGATTGCAGGAGGCTGAAAGTTATTGCCCTGATGTAAGGCAAATCCCTGTAAATCACTAGCAAGGATTGGCTATGTGCAAAAACAACCAGTTTAACCATGAAGTCAGTTGACCAAAGTTCTTCCCTGTTGTGACCAAGTACAATACATACACCTGGAAAATGATCAAGCAATGTTTTACACCGCTTTTTAGCAATATTCCAGCAATATTATGGCGGGGGACACCTGGGCTTCACTCATTGTACCCATGTGGGGAATTGAATTCGGACCTTCGGCATGACGAGCGAACACTTTTACCACTAGGCTACCCCACCGCCCCCTATCTGTATGAACATACAGTGTTCTTGTTCCAACTGCCCAGGAGGTATCAGTGGTATTATAGACATTTGTCAAAATTCTATGTCCCTCCTATTGACCAGTCAGATTCCACCTCTCATATCACTTGCATTTGCTTCAAACAAAATGCCGGTGCCCAGTCAAGATGATCAGATCAATAATCAAGATCTATATTGTCAAAAAAATGGGTCTTACACTGCATCAAATCACTTGAGCACCTTGATTAAAATCATAAAAAGATTTGGAAAACATCTCTTGATGCCCAGTTGACGGTACACATGCTTTGCAAATCCTGCAGTTCACCAAAGGGTGCACGTTGAAATCCATGTTGTTAACAAACCGGATGTCTAGTTCTTTACAAGATTTTGATTGGACTAAGCATAGACTTGTTAGTCCATCCAAAATGTATCTCTAGAATTCCAGCCCAGTTCGGCAAGGGTGGAAACTGGACTTTTATAGACAATAAATTGGCAATTTAGTATAATTTTTGGAGATAATTCCGTCTTCTAAATAAACAAACTAACTGCATTGATCTCAGTTGTTTTCACAGCTAATCCTCACCCAGAGAACTTTCACTTTCTTTAAATAACAAAAAAATTTAGTTTGATGTTATAATGATGATGTTCTTTTCTATAAGCTTAAATGACTTGGTATTTCTCAGGGAATGAGGAGTCTTGTGGCACAAGCCAATCAACAAGTTGGGCTTTGGAGCTGTGCTCACACTGGATTGACACACTGACACAATTATCAGCTGGCTCTAGACATACTTCTTTCAACCTATCTGAATTAGAATTGTCCACATTTGACCCGAGAGTTGGCAACATATATGACGAAGTCCTAATAAATAGATGGGATTGAATGGATATGTCTTGTCTCTTATTTAACCGTCCATATATCAGGTCAGTACGATCTGGTTTTCCCCTCTCTGGTTTTAATGCCACCCTGGTTATAGCAAGGCCACATTGACACACTACACTACTGCAATCTGGCTGGCTACCCGAATACAAGGTTGTGTAGCTGGGTTGACAGCAAGGCCACATTGACACACTACACTACTGCAATCTGGCTGGCTACCCCAATACAAAGTTGTGTAGCTGGGTTGACAGCAAGGCCACGTTGACACACTACACTACTGCAATCTGGCTGGCTACCCCAATACAAAGCTGTGTAGCTGGGTTGACAGCAAGGCCACGTTGACACACTTCACTACTGCAATCTGGCTGGCTACCCCAATACAAAGTTGTGTAGCTGGGTTGACAGCAAGGCCACATTGACACACTACACTACTGCAATCTGGCTGGCTACCCCAATACAAGGTTGTGTAGCTGGGTTGACAGCAAGGCCACGTTGACACACTACACTACTGCAATCTGGCTGGCTACCCAAATACAAGGTTGTGTAGCCGGGTTGACAGCAAGGCCACATTGACACACTACACTACTGCAATCTGGCTGGCTACCCCAATACAAGGTTGTGTAGCTGGGTTGACAGCAAGGCCACGTTGACACACTACACTACTGCAATCTGGCTGGCTACCCGAATATAAAGTTGTGTAGCTGGGTTGACAGCAAGGCCACATTGACACACTACACTACTGCAATCTGGCTGGCTACCCCAATACAAGGTTGTGTAGCTTGGTTGACAGCAAGGCCACATTGACACACTACACTACTGCAATCTGGCTGGCTACCCCAATACAAGGTTGTGTAGCTGGGTTGACAGCAAGGCCACATTGACACACTACACTACTGCAATCTGGCTGGCTACCCGAATACAAAGTTGTGTAGCTGGGTTGACAGCAAGGCCACATTGACACACTACACTACTGCAATCTGGCTGGCTACCCCAATACAAGGTTGTGTAGCTGGGTTGACAGCAAGGCCACGTTGACACACTACACTACTGCAATCTGGCTGGCTACCCCAATACAAAGTTGTGTAGCTGGGTTGACAGCAAGGCCACATTGACACACTACACTACTGCAATCTGGCTGGCTACCCCAATACAAGGTTGTGTAGCTGGGTTGACAGCAAGGCCACATTGACACACTACACTACTGCAATCTGGCTGGCTACCCCAATACAAGGTTGTGTAGCTGGGTTGACAGCAAGGCCACATTGACACACTACACTACTGCAATCTGGCTGGCTACCCCAATACAAGGTTGTGTAGCTGGGTTGACAGCAAGGCCACGTTGACACACTACACTACTGCAATCTGGCTGGCTACCCGAATACAAAGCTGTGTAGCTGGGTTGACAGCAAGGCCACATTGAAACACTTCACTACTGCAATCTGGCTGGCTACCCGAATACAAAGTTGTGTAGCTGGGTTGACAGCAAGGCCACATTGACACACTACACTACTGCAATCTGGCTGGCTACCCCAATACAAGGTTGTGTAGCTGGGTTGACAGCAAGGCCATGTTGACACACTACACTACTGCAATCTGGCTGGCTACCCGAATACAAAGCTGTGTAGCTGGGTTGACAGCAAGGCCACATTGACACACTACACTACTGCAATCTGGCTTGCCACACACATACAAGGTTAAACAAGCTTGTATGATCTGGTAAGGCCCAAACAACCAGGTACACTGCTACCTGGCTGTGTAATTCGTTTATGATAATTGGAAAAGGCTATAGTAAATCACTTTAATTATAGACATTTAACACAGCCACGGTACTGACTGACATAGGGCAGCAATCAGAGCAAATCCAGGATTCAAACTCACAAGCTCGACCCTGTCTGCAAAGGGACACAACTCTGCACTATCAGACATGACACCTTAAACCACTGGGCTAACCAACCAGTTAGGTTTTCATGTCCAGCAATAACACCGGAGAGGATCACCAAGAATATTCACACTGATCCCATGTGTGGAACTAAACCCTGGTCTTCTGTGTGACAAGCAAGGGCTTTAACCCCAAGGCTACCCGTAAAATGATATAACATCAATCACAAGAAGGTGCTGCTGCCTTACTCAGATCTCTAATACTTACCATACCTGACTACTGTACTAGTCTACAGCTCATTGCTAACCAGGAACACCATAGGCTACAAAGAGTCCAAACTTCTTCTGGATGGTGACAGTAACATCACATTATCTCAATACTTCAGTCTCTTATTGGCTCGAGATGACAACAAGGTTTTTTTCTCTGACATACATCAATGGAACAACCCCAAACTACCCCTGTGATCTTCTAAAGGTGTACAAGCCCTCAAGACTCATTTGTCTGACTCGACGAATCTGCTACAACCTCAAAGATGGAAACCCACACATTTGGATGCTGTTCTTTCCAAAACTGTGTGAATGGAACACTCTGCCAGATGAAATCTAATGTTCTCCAACACCAAACTCTCCTGCTTCAATCATCCTACTGTCATTAGGAATTCTTATTTATCTTGTCGGGCGGTCGGGTAGCCTAGTGGTTAAAGCGTTCGCTCGTCACGCCGAAGACCCGGGTTTGATTCCCGACATGGGTACAATGTGTGAAGCCCATTTCTGGTGTCCCCCGTTGTGATATTGCTGGAATATTGCTAAAAGCGACGTTAAACCATACTCACTCACTCACTATTTATCTTGTCAAGCACTATAGCATGCTGCCTGATTGAATATGGTGCTGTGAAGTGGTCTACATAAGTGGTCTTATCATAATGGAGATGTTCACATGAGAGAGCAAGCAGGTGAAGATAAGTGGCAACCTACCCTTGGGGCTTGTAGGTGAGTTGGGCACAGAACACAAGGGAAGGGGGAAGCCGTCCTGGAGATGTCTGGGTATGTGACAGATGGGCGCCGTCAACAGCGTGTACTCCATCACAACGTCACACAGGGAGTACCTGACGGCGTTCATCAGGCGTTCCCGCAGTGCCTTCAGGTCGGAGTTGCCGTTCTCCCAGATCTTGAACTGAATCAGTGCCGTGGGGCCTGGAGGCACAAATTCAGGCAATCAGAGACTTGGAGAATTGTCAGATTTCGGACAAACACTGAATGCATGTACATTACATCATAGATGGAGGGTTCTAACTACTGGTACTGAGCCAAGTGGCTGAACCTGCAGAGAGCTGTTACCTGGTCTGGAGGGGGAGGGGTTGGGCAGATGAACGAAAGTTTCCACCAGACGTTCGAACTCCTCCGGGTCTTGTATCTTGGTGGACGACATGCTGCAGGGCTTGGGGCAACTCAGTAACTTGACAGGGCTCCCCGTACCATCCGCCAGAGACAGGCTGATACACGCAATACCTGCACACAGGGAGATCATCATCATCATCATCATCATCCATATTAGCTTCATCAATCATGTAACCTTCATCATCGATATTAATGTTCATCTCTATAATCACCAGCCGGACAATCAATAACAGAATAAAGGGAGTCCTATATAATATCACCTTCAAAATAAATACTTCGATCAATGTTTCTAATCATAACATTACATGCAGTGAACAGCAAGAGTAACATGAAGTCACACAAATGATTACCTTTTCCTCCAATGGCTTGAGGACGCAGATGCAGGAAGGCATCTTCTTGTGGTATAGCCCCTGTTTGGCCTTCAACACTGTCCTGTTTGAACAGACAGACATTTCATGTAATTTCCTGTCCAATGGATTATATGTTTGATGTAAAATATATATTGATGGTGGATGGATAAATACATGACTAGATAAAAGGATAGATTGACAGGTGGGATGGTGGATACATGCCTAGATGGACAGGTGGGTGGGTGGATATATGGATAGATGGACAGGTGGGTGGGTGGATATATGGATAGATGGACAGGTGGGTGGGTGGATATATGCATAGATGGACAGGTGGGTGGGTGGATATATGCATAGATGGACAGGTGTGTGGGTGGACACATGGATAGATGGACAGAAGGTTGGGTGGATACATGGATAGATGGACAGGTGGGTGGGTGGGTGGGTGGATATATGGATAGATGGACAGGTGGGTGGGTGGTTGGGTGGATATATGGATAGATGGACAGGTGGGTGGGTGGATATATGCATAGATGGACAGGTGTGTGGGTGGACACATGGATAGATGGACAGAAGGTTGGGTGGATACATGGATAGATGGACAGGTGGGTGGGTGGGTGGGTGGATACATGGATAGATGGACAGGTGGGTGGGTGGATACATGGATAAATGGACAGGTGTGTGGGTGGACACATGGATAGATGGATAGATGGACAGAAGGTTGGGTGGATACATGCATAGATGGACAGAAGGGTGGGTGGATGGTTGGGTGGATATATGGATAGATGGACAGGTGGGTGGGTACATGAATAGATGGAAAGATGGGAGGGTGGGTACATAGATGGATGGTCAGATGACAGACACATGGATACACCCATGGACATATGACAGATAGATGTATACATCTGCATGCCAAGTGCGGTGACTACCTGGAAGTGGTACTCGGGCACTGCATCCACATAGTTTGGCGTGTGCAGGAACTGCAGCAGGTTCTGTCGGAGGTAGAAGATGAGGGCCTGGAGGTACATCATGGCGTGGCCGGGGATGGTCAGCTGCAGCACCTCCACAGGCTCCTGGTCCGGCCGCTGGATGAACTGCACACAGGAACAGGAGAACTTACATGACACTATGCTTCAAACTCCTTCGATTTCAGAGCTGTCAGATAACCATGACACTTCAACAACTTTTGAAGATCATAGCAGAATTACAACTTATCAAGGAGGAAACTGGCACAATCTTTCTTCTATTGTATCTTGTTTTACCTATGGAAGTGATGCTGTTCATTTTCATGGTAAATATAAGATCATTAGAGCTGTTATTTACTTCCTTGAACTGAAAAAAAGCCTAAAAAGTTGATTTTGAAGGATGGAAACTTGCTGACCTGTTAACGCACAATTCATCAAACTTACGGAATGGGATTTTTTTTGGCGACTTTAAACTTTTGAAGTGCAACAACACTTCCTCCTAACAGACTAAGGCAGAGGACAGTAGTTGTTAACATACATGGACATCCTCCGGCTTCAGTTTACACTTGGGGTTTCTGTTAAGCATCACTGAGATGACTTCAAGCACAGCTTCGTCCAGCTTCTTCTGCAGCAGTCGCATCAGCTCCTCCCGAATCTCAGAACCTGCACACACAGACACATACCATCAGCTCCTCCCGAAACTCAGAACCTGCACACACAGACCCATACCATCAGCTCCTCCCCAATCTCAGAACCTGCACACACAGACACATACCATCAGCTCCTCCCGAAACTCAGAACCTGCACACACAGACACATACCATCAGCTCCTCCCCAATCTCAGAACCTGCACACACAGACACATACCATCAGCTCCTCCCCAATCTCAGAACCTGCACACACAGACCCATACCATCAGCTCCTCCCCAATCTCAGAACCTGCACACACAGACCCATACCATCAGCTCCTCCCGAAACTCAGAACCTGCACACACAGACCCATACCATCAGCTCCTCCCCAATCTCAGAACCTGCACACACAGACACATACCATCAGCTCCTCCCCAATCTCAGAACCTGCACACACAGACCCATACCATCAGCTCCTCCCCAATCTCAGAACCTGCACACACAGACACATACCATCAGCTCCTCCCCAATCTCAGAACCTGCACACACAGACCCATACCATCAGCTCCTCCCGAATCTCAGAACCTGCACAAACAGACACATACCATTAACTCCTCCCGAATCTCAGAACCTGCATACACAGACCCATACCATCAGCTCCTCCCCAATCTCAGAACCAGTTTCTATCTCCTCCATGTCATACACCTGTGTGTGCTAGTACCTATCTCCTCGATGCCGTACACCTGTGTGTGCTAGTACCTATCTCCTCCATGTCATACACCTGTGTATCCTAGTACCTATCTCCTCAATGTCGGACACCTGTGTATGCTAGTACCTATCTCCTCGATGCTGTACACCTGTGTATACTAGTACCTATCTCCTCAATGTACACCTGTGTACACTAGTACCTAAATCCTCAATGTACACCTGTGTATACTAGTACCTATCTCCTCAATGTACACCTGTGTATACTAGTACCTATCTCCTCAATGTACACCTGTGTACACTAATACCTAAATCCTCAATGTACACCTGTGTATACTAGTACCTATCTCCTCAATGTACACCTGTGTATACTAGTACCTATCTCCTCAATGTACACCTGTGTACACTAGTACCTAAATCCTCAATGTACACCTGTGTACACTAGTACCTATCTCCTCAATGTACACCTGTGTATGCCAGTACCTATCTCCTCAATGTACACCTGTGTATACTAGTACCTATCTCCTCAATGTACACCTGTGTACACTAGTACCTAAATCCTCAATGTACACCTGTGTATACTAGTACCTATCTCCTCAATGTACACCTGTGTATACTAGTACCTATCTCCTCAATGTACACCTGTGTACACTAGTACCTAAATCCTCAATGTACACCTGTGTATACTAGTACCTATCTCCTCAATGTACACCTGTGTATGCCAGTACCTATCTCCTCAATGTACACCTGTGTATACTAGTACCTATCTCCTCGATGGTGTACACCTGTGTATACTAGTACCTATCTCCTCAATGTACACCTGTGTACACTAGTACCTAAATCCTCAATGTACACCTGTGTATACTAGTACCTATCTCCTCAATGTACACCTGTGTATGCCAGTACCTATCTCCTCGATGTACACCTGTGTTTACCAGTACCTATCTCCTCGATGTCGAACACATGTGTTTACTAGTACCTATCTCCTCAATGTACACCTGTGTTTACCAGTACCTATCTCTTCGATGCCGTACACCTGGATCTGTACCAGATCCTCCTCCCTGGACGACATGCGGCTGACCCCGGACGTCATGGAAACAGTGTCCGCCTCTGTCATGTCCTGCAGCACAAGGATGGAGACACAGGAACATGTTTAGCAGGTTCATCCTGGCCGGCAGTTTACGATACAACAAAGTGTTTACACAGTGTGGCAGGAATAGATGCAGGTCACAGAAATGACAAAGCTATCAACAGATTTGTAATTTTGATTGCAGTCAACTTAACATGGTAGGAGAGCCCAAAGTGAGAAAGTCATAAATTATGGCCACATTGGGGAAGCCCACTGGTATGGTACACAGATCATAATCCCGACTTCAACCCCATTGCCAGTGGATCCTGGCATGACGAAGGGGTGTAACTCTCAAAAGCCACATCTAAGACTATTTGGCCAGCAATGCCCTTTATTAGCATATAATATTTCACTCCTGAAAATGATTCTGGACTGAAGGATCTAAGAGTTGACATTTAACATCTGATGATGGTGAAGATAATTAAAAGGATTGTGGGGAGACACGTCCAGGAAATGTAACTTATCAAACAGCTTAACAAAATTAGTTCCCCCACAAGGCTGATCTATATAGAAAGCTTCAACAAGAAATATTCAATAGTTTTGGAGTTCTGCTACAGAAACAAGCACTACCTTCATTTCCTTATAAGTCCAAACGTCAAGGAAAAGCAAAAATGTAAAAATAAAAATCCCAAATCATCAAAAGGCACAAAAGAGTTCTGACACTATAATGAGAGAGAAAGAAACACTTACATAGTCGCTCTCCTTCTTGAAGCTGGCCATCATCCCCCGACTAAAGCTCTCTGGAGGCAGAGAGGCAAGAGGTGTTATTACACATTGTTGGAGACAGTGTCATACATGTGTGATGTCACATGGAGAGGATTCAGAGAATAACCAAAGAGCTACAAGGAATTATGGATATCTGTTGCATGTGAATGACCAGTGTAAGCCTGGTAGATCTGGTACATCACTTGTTCACAAGGGACAGATAATCCGTAATTTGGAGTTTTGAGTTGGTCATTCTGTATATTAGTATATACTTTGTCACTTAAAGAAAGAAAATTAAGACAATACTTTGTCATTTTAAGAAAATGAAGAGATTACTTTGTTATTTAAAGAAAGAAAATGAAGAAACTACATACGAAATGACAATGTTTCAGAGAAACTTCACTGAAGTCAACCTGTGACATTGTGTCATCAGTTTGTGATGTCATGAACAATGGATGACATCATATTGTATTGTTCTAAAAAATGAAGCAATGTGACGTCATATCACTTCAACTGACCAATATTTGCAAATATTGAAAATTAATTACACTTGATCTTTTGAAATTAGGAATTTAGGACCTTATTAGGAAATAATATATCATTGTATCCCAAATTTTAATGATTTTAATTTTTACCTTGTTTGAGAAAAAGTTAAAGATGTGTTACCATTAACCTTTATTTGAGATGATAAAAAGACAATCTGACAGTGAATTAGCTCCCCCACCTACCCTCTAGAGGCGAGGACACGTCATCAGCATTCACAGGGGCTCGTGTTTCCTTCAGTCTGCAGGGAAATTACACATTAAATATCAGTTAGAACAAAACATAGGAACCTGTCTAGTCCCCATCACTAGCACCTATAAACACGTGCCCTTACATGGATAATACAACTAAACCATACAAGCTAAAGGACCAACCTTGTATATTCTGGGGTGGGGCCTGAGATTATTTAACGCTGCAAAAATATAATTTTTGCCTCAGGTTTGCTTCACATGCTGGATGTGTTGTTTAAAAACAGAAAATGTGTTTATAATTTGTTCAGTGACTTCCCAGCCCTTCCCACCCAACCCTTAAGTTTATTTTAAATGGCGAAAGCCTGAAACAAAGATTCTAATCTGGGCCTCGTTCCACAAAGGGACCTTAGCGCTAAGACGATCGTAACTACCATACTTTAACATAGGCTTACGGTAGTCGTAGCGCTTAGATCGCTTTGTGGAACGGGTCCCTGTGGAACAAGTCTTAACATATATGGAGTAGGCAACATATTTAGCACAAAGCTTAATTTAAAAAATAATATCCTGTTTGTCATGTTTTGTGTTGAAAGTGTTCAGAAGTAAATGCACAGCAGACAGTGACACCCTGATAACTCCTGGTGAAACTGTCCCTATTTAACCTATTGTTGTATTAATGCATCATGAGTACAGTGTTGTTCCTTCGTTATATGTAGGGCATTGTTCCTTCGTTATATGTAGGGCAATGTTCCTTCGTTATATGTAGGGCAATGTTCCTTCATTATATGTAGGGCAATGTTCCTTCATTATATGTAAGGCAATGTTCCTTTGTTATGTGTAGGGCATTGTTCCTTCGTTATATGTAGGGCAATGTTCCTTTGTTATGTGTAGGGCATTGTTCCTTCGTAATATGTAGGGCAATGTTCCTTTGTTATATGTAGGGCATTGTTCCTTCGTTATTCATATATATGTCCCACAAGATCATCCTTCAGGTTGCCAGACACTACTAGGGTTTAGTTGTATATGGAATGTCACATGACAGGGACAACTTCTTACCGGAGGTAGAACACACTGCGTGAAGCCGACTCGGTCTCCCTGATCACAAACATGTTTCGTCTGTTGTTCACAGAAAACTTATTCAGCACACTGCGAAGAGCCAGGAATCCTAGAAAATAACATTTCCATCATGTCTTTTGCCGAAAGGAATCATTTGGGTAGACTGTGCTGCTACGATCCAACACAAAAAGCAATTCAGAGGCAGAATAGGTTCCCAGTAACCCATGGCTGTTGCAAGGGCCTATTAATGAGGATCATATATTATAATGTGCGACCTGGCTGATTGTGTATCATCAAGCCCTGATGGATTCGAACTTTGCTCACACAGTAAATGCATGGATTAAGGTTATGTTTTCTGCCCCAGATCTGCTGTATCACATACTTTGCATATTTGTGAGTGAGTGAGTTAATGCTTTACGTCACATCGGCTATATTTCAGCCATATCGTGACGAGTGCATATTTGTAGTTTTACCTCTTGAGACACTGACTGACTAGAGAGACACAGTACCTCTTGAGACTGACTGACTAGAGAGACACAGTACCTCTTGAGACACTGATTGACTAGAGAGACACAGTACCTCTTGAGACACTGACTGGCTAGAGAGACACAGTACCTCTTGAGACTGACTGACTAGAGAGACACAGTACCTCTTGAGACACTGACTGACTAGAGAGACACAGTACCTCTTGAGACTGACTGACTAGAGAGACACAGTACCTCTTGAGACACTGACTGACTAGAGAGACACAGTACCTCTTGAGACACTGACTGGCTAGAGAGACACAGCACCTCTTGAGACTGACTGACTAGAGAGACACAGTACCTCTTGAGACTGACTGACTAGAGAGACACAGTACCTCTTGAGACACTGACTGGCTAGAGAGACACAGTACCTCTTGAGACACTGACTGGCTAGAGAGACACAGTACCTCTTGAGACACTGACTGGCTAGAGAGACACAGTACCTCTTGAGACACTGACTGGCTAGAGATACACAATACCTCTTGAGACACTGACTGACTAGAGAGACACAGTACCTCTTGAGACTGACTGACTAGAGAGACACAGTACCTCTTGAGACACTGACTGACTAGAGAGACATAGTACCTCTAGAGACACTGACTGACTAGAGAGACACAGTACCTCTTGAGACACTGACTGACTAGAGAGACACAGTACCTCTTGAGACACTGACTGGCTAGAGAGACACAGTACCTCTTGAGACACTGACTGGCTAGAGAGACACAGTACCTCTTGAGACACTGACTGGCTAGAGAGACACAGTACCTCTTGAGACACTGACTAGAGAGACACAGTACCTCTTGAGACACTGACTGGCTAGAGAGACACAGTACCTCTTGAGACGTTGGCTCTGCCTGTGGCTGTCTTGAGTCTGGGGTGCAGCACAAAGTTCTTGGTCCACACACAGTCACAGGCAAAGTAGCCAGGCTTCAGTTTGAGAGAAGCAAACAGGTAGTGATTCCCCTTGCCATCTTCTCCCTCTTCCTCCTCCTCTACCTCAGAACCTGGAGAAGAAGAGACAGCATAATAGCTAAGAACAGAACAGGTTGTTTAACAGTTTTGCTGAACTTACAGTATACCATGGTATCGACATACTATGTAGCATAATTAGTCCAAATCTGATACTTGAACCCACCATCGGCGAATCCTGGCAAAGGCCAAGGGTCACAACTCAAACTGCATTGCTACAAACCACCCATGCCTCCCAAATCCAATAGAAAATCTTGTATACATGATATATGAATACATCTGTACAGTATGACAACCAGTATTTACTTGTCCGGGGCGTCATGTGTCCAGTGTCATGCATCTCCTGAAACTGTACTTACTGTCTGGAGCTTTATGTCCTGTGTCATGCATCTCCTGAAACTGTACTTACCGTCTGGAGCTTTACGTCCAGTGTCATGCATCTCCTGAAACTGTACTTACTGTCTGGAGCTTTACGTGCTGTGTCATGCATCTCCTGAAACTGTACTTACTGCCTGAAGCTTTACGTCCTGTGTCATGCATCTCCTGAAACTGTACTTACCGTCTGGAGCTTTACGTCCTGTGTCATGCATCTCCTGAAACTGTACTTACTGTCTGGAGCTTTACGTGCTGTGTCATGCAACTCCTGAAACTGTACTTACCGTCTGGAGCTTTACGTCCTGTGTCATGCATCTCCTGAAACTGTACTTACTGTCTGGAGCTTTACGTGCTGTGTCATGCAACTCCTGAAACTGTACTTACCGTCTGGAGCTTTACGTCCTGTGTCATGCATCTCCTGAAACTGTACTTACTGTCTGGAGCTTTACGTGCTGTGTCATGCATCTCCTGAAACTGTACTTACTGTCTGGAGCTTTACGGCCTGTGTCATGCATCTCCTGAAACTGTACTTACTGTCTGGAGCTTTACGTCCTGTGTCATGCATCTCCTGAAACTGTACTTACCGTCTGGAGCTTTACGTCCTGTGTCATGCATCTCCTGAAACTGTACTTACTGTCTGGAGCTTTACGTCCAGTGTCATGCATCTCCTGCACATGTTCTCCCTGTCTGGAGCTTTACGTCCTGTGTCATGCATCTCCTGAAACTGTACTTACCGTCTGGAGCTTTACGTCCTGTGTCATGCATCTCCTGAAACTGTACTTACTGCCTGAAGCTTTACGTCCTGTATCATGCATCTCCTGAAACTGTACTTACTGTCTGGAGCTTTATGTCCTGTGTCATGCATCTCCTGAAACTGTACTTACTGCCTGAAGTTTTACGTCCTGTGTCATGCAACTCCTGAAACTGTACTTACTGTCTGGAGCTGAGCGTCCCGACAGTGTCCTCTTGTCCGCCCAGGAGATGTCTTCGTCAGCCTCGGGGACCAGTAGGTTGTTACACATGTGGGTGTCGTTCAGGTCCTCAAGGAGGAGTTGCTGCAGAGACAGAGTCATTATAGTTACCTCCCTTGCCCTGCCAACACCTTGACCAGGTCAATGAGGGATATTGTTACTCAACACAGTTACCTCCCTTGCCCTGCCAACACCTGGACCAGGTCAATGAGGGATATTGTTACTCAACACAGTTACCTCCCTTGCCCTGCCAACACCTGGACCAGGTCAATGAGGGATATTGTTACTCAATACAGTTACCTCCCTTGCCCTGCCAACACATGGACCAGGTCAATGAGGGATATTGTTACTCAATACAGTTACCTCCCTTGCCCTGGCAACACCTGGACCAGGTCAATGAGGGATATTGTTACTCAACACAGTTACCTTCCTTGCCCTGCCAACACCTGGACCAGGTCAATGAGTGATATTGTTACTCAACACAGTTACCTCCCTTGCCCTGCCAACACCTGGACCAGGTATACAACTGACCAAAAGTGTGGGATAAAATTAAACTTCTAAGAATTTTTTCAATAACTTTATTTTGACTATGGTTTTCTAAAACAAAGTAATATAAGGCCCTAGTGAGGTACACAACATACCAAAGTTCCCTTCCCATAAAGCATATGCCTCTTGACACATTTATACCTTATATAATAAGATAAACAATTGAATGCTGAATCAGGCTGCAATGGAATGGTGACCAAACAGAGGGCTGCCCCAAATATGAGCTGACAGATAGCTGACCTGGTTGACCTTGATGCAGATCTTGTTGATGGACTTGTTGACCAGCTCCAGAAGGGCCTGGTAGTGCACCGTCTCCTCTCCCTCCTCATGTCCTGTCTCTCTGAAGTCACGACAAGACATTTATATACCTAAAACATGTATTTTGAAAAAAAAAGAAATGGAGCAAATGTATATGATTTAATCCCCCTTACAGCAATAACCCAGCCATGCTATAATGGAGAACACCAAGTACAGACTGAACACATTGTAAACCATCTTCCAGAGGCAAGGGAGTTACCTGACTGTAAAAGTCCAGTTTCCACCCTTGCCGAACCAGTGGCTATTATGATTTAAGTCTCTTCAATGTCCCTCCTAATGACCAAACAGATTCCACCTCATATCACTTGCATTTGCTTTAAACAAAATGGTGGAGCAAAGTCAAGACGATCTGATTTATAATCAAGATCTCTATTGTAATAAGACTGGTCTTACTTCGTGTAGTGCATCAAACCAAGTAAGCACCTTGATTAAAACAGAAAAAAAATTGGTAAATATCTGTTGACGCTATGTTGACAGTACACATGCTTTGCAAATCCTGCAATCAATGAAATCTGCACGGCAGTTTATGAACCGGGTGTTGATTTTGTTACGCAATTTTGATTGGACTATGCATAGACTTGTTAGTCCCTTGGCAAGGGAGGAAAGTCAGTTAACTCTCTTGCCTTGTGATCAAGTAGGAAATTAAACCAGCATTCTTGACATTTAGAACTAATGTTTTAACCACGATGCCACACCATAGCCCAATAAAAGAATGAAGAATTGCTATTTCACATAACAATCCACACATAGAAATCTGTAGGTTAATAAGATATTGTACTCTTACACCATTATCCTAATTATTGATAGATCAAATTTGAAATGATTATCATAAATGACAAGTTATTATCCTAAAATGCAATATGTATCAATGAGGCCCAACTACAAGCAAGCAGAACTTTCAACATGGCTGTCACAATGGCAGTAAATATACCCAGGTGAATAAGGGGGAAAGTGACATTATTAATTAAGTTAATTCTGAGCATGTTTTGGTGGCATTATTGATGAAGTCATCATCCAAAGGAGTTGAAAACGTGTACAATTTTACAATGAAAGGACAATACCCAATCAAGAACAAAACTGGTGCAGTAAGGTGTTGATAAGTACATATAAGATCCACCAAAAGTTATTTTTAAAAGAGAAAGTAATGACATCTTGTTCTCATCTGACCTGGTGTGGAAGAATATGTCAGTGTGATCCTGGCTGATCTGAAGGATGAGCCAGAACTTGGGCAGACGAGGATGTGAGGGGACGCTGTCACTAGTGGAGGCTGTGTCATCAAGGTCACCATCGCTGGAGTCCCCATCATACCCTGCAGGAACAAATAATCATTAAGTATTGTCTGAATAAGATGGACAGGCATGAAACAATAATAACCGGCTTCACACTGCCATGTGTTACATATCCATACTTGTAGCTGCTCCAGTTCAGCAGATGAACTGGCACTTAGCAATGGTTTTCTCTATTCTCAATTTATAAACTAATCTTACATTCCATTTATTTCAAATTTGTATGATAAGCCTTACCATCTTCAGTGTAGCTTCCCCTGGAGGAGAACAAGGAGGGGGTGTGCGGCAGAGTCGAGGACCTGCTGTGTGGAGTTCCCTGTCCTGATGGGGCCGAGAAGTGCCGACCTCGGACATGTGGCAAGGTGGGGCGGGTCGTCAAACCACCCCCTGTTGTCTGCTGGATCTCTTCATGCTGTGTCTCTGCCTGAAATCCGGCAAAACTTGAAGACTTCTTCAAAGATCCTTCTCCACTCTCCACAGGATCTCTATCAATTTTGGGGATGTCCAATATATGAGACGTTGAAACCATCTCTGGGAGAGTCAACTCAGTAGGTTTCGACAATTTGACATCAACAGAATCAGAATCAATATCATTTCCGACTGGCCTAGCCATGAATTTGGCATCTGAGAAGCTTCTCTGCCTGAAATCCTCTCTCTCGGGAGTGATGGGTTCAGGAGAGTCAACACACTTGGCGGTCAACTGGTCAACAGGATGAAGAACGCTGGGCAGACTGTTGCTCCTCTCCTCGATGGCTGGGAACAGTCGGCAGGTGGGGTCCTTCCACCCCGGCGGGATGTCTCCAGACTCCAGTTCGGCCAGGGCAGACTTGAGATCCCGGGCATGCTGCCGCAGCTGGATAGCCCGTGCCCGGTCAATGATGACGAAGTAGTAGTCTCCCTCCTTGGTCCAGTGATACCCAGGTAGATGCATCCTCTCAAACTCCTGAACAGCAAAAAGTGCCATCATAACAATGGTTAGACAATACAAAATATGTAGGTGGATGCTGTTTGTGCTTGACACCACATCACCTCCTTACTGTGAAGGTGTCATTGCTGTTTAAAAGACCTGACCCCTAGTGCCTTCATGTATACACAAGGACATGTGCTACATGTGCTTCAGTGTGGGGCAGGACCGAAATAGTACTGAATGATAACACAGACGGTGTACACATATGAATCCCTTCCTGGTCAATGAGGCAGTGGGGTAGCCTTGTGGTTAAAGCGTTAGTTTGTCTACCAAAAACCCGGGTTTGATTCGCGAAATGGGTACAAAGTGTGAAGCCCATTTCTGGTGTCCCTCACAGTGATATTGCTGGAATATTGTTAAAAGAGGCGTAAAACAAAACTCACTCACTCACCCCTGATCAGCGGTTCCACAATATATGATGACACAGAGAAAGACATAAACAACGAGAAACTGATCTTCATCCCAAAGTTATAATATTACTAAGAGAATAAATACTGACCTCTGTGAACCTGCCCAGGCTCTGGTCGGCTCCGTAGACAAACATGAGGTCAACTCTGTCATGAACACAAGCTGGCTTCCCCGCCTGTACTGACGACTTGATGTGCTCCGTCACATACTTGAGAGCATCAGCACTGATGGGTTGCAGATTCCGTAGGGACGAGGTGATCTCATCCGACAGCAGCCACTCGATCTGAAGCACAGAGTTGATCAAGAGATGGGATTTAACACTGCCTTCACAAACAGTGTGTCAAAGCTAAACTTGCGAACAGTTCGAGTGCAAAATGATGTTGCAAATAGAACTTTAGTGCTAAGGTGAAATTCTTTGTATTGGTGCTGAGCTACAGACCAAAGATCCTAATTGTGGAAATAAAGATCCTTGGTATGGCTGAGTGAGGCAACTTTGCACAGAGAGGCTGAACTGGAATACTGATATTTCAGGAATACATTGACATAACAATTGCTGACACTCGACTAGTGATGAATACATAGACGTAACTCTTCCTGACACTCCACTAGTGATGAATACACAGACGTCACTCTTCCTGACACTCGACTAGTGATGAATACATAGACGTCACTCTTCCTGACACTCGACTAGTGATGAATACATAGACGTCACTCTTCCTGACACTCGACTAGTGATGAATACATAGACGTAACTCTTCCTGACACTCAACTAGTGATGAATACATAGACGTCACTCTTCCTGACACTCCACTAGTGATGAATACATAGACGTCACTCTTCCTGACACTCGACTAGTGATGAATACATAGACGTCACTCTTCCTGACACTCCACTAGTGATGAATACATAGACGTCACTCTTCCTGACACTCGACTAGTGATGAATACATAGACGTCACTCTTCCTGACACTCCACTAGTGATGAATACATAGACGTCACTCTTCCTGACACTCCACTAGTGATGAATACATAGACGTCACTCTTCCTGACACTCGACTAGTGATGAATACATAGACGTAACTCTTCCTGACACTCCACTAGTGATGAATTCACAGACGTCACTCTTCCTGACACTCGACTAGTGATGAATACACAGACGGAACTCTTCCTGACACTCCACTAGTGATGAATACATAGACGTAACTCTTCCTGACACTCGACTAGTGATGAATACATACACGTAACTCTTCCTGACACTCGACTAGTGATGAATACATACACGTAACTCTTCCTGACACTCGACTAGTGATGAATACATAGACATCACTCTTCCTGACACTCGACTAGTGATGAATACACAGACGTCACTCTTCCTGACACTCGACTAGTGATGAATACATACACGTAACTCTTCCTGACACTCGACTAGTGATGAATACATAGACGTAACTCTTCCTGACACTCGACTAGTGATGAATACATAGATGTAACTCTTCCTGACACTCGACTAGTGATTAATACATAGACGTAACTCTTCCTGACACTCGACTAGTTATGAATACATAGACGTCACTCTTCCTGACACTCAACTAGTGATGAATACACAGACGTCACTCTTCCTGACACTCGACTAGTGATGAATACAGAGACGGAACTCTTCCTGACACTCGACTAGTGATGAATACACAGACGTAACTCTTCCTGACACTCGACTAGTGATGAATACATAGACGTAACTCTTCCTGACACTCGACTAGTGATGAATACATAGACGTAACTCTTCCTGACACTCGACTAGTGATGAATACATAGACGTAACTCTTCCTGACACTCGACTAGTGATGAATACATAGACGTAACTCTTCCTGACACTCGACTAGTGATGGATACATAGACGTCACTCTTCCTGACACTCGACTAGTGATGAATACATAGACGTCACTCTTCCTGACACTCGACTAGTGATGAATACAGAGACGTCACTCTTCCTGACACTCGACTAGTGATGAATACACAGACGTAACTCTTCCTGACACTCGACTAGTGATGAATACATAGACGTAACTCTTCCTGACACTCGACTAGTGATGAATACATAGACGTAACTCTTCCTGACACTCGACTAGTGATGAATACATAGACGTAACTCTTCCTGACACTCGACTAGTGATGAATACATAGACGTAACTCTTCCTGACACTCGATTAGTGATGAATACATAGACGTCACTCTTCCTGACACTCGACTAGTGATGAATACATAGACGTCACTCTTCTTGACACTCGACTAGTGATGAATACATAGATGTAACTCTTCCTGACACTCGACTAGTGATGAATACATAGACGTAACTCTTCCTGACACTCAACTAGTGATGAATACATTGACATAACTCTTTCGGATACTAGTGTCTTGCTTCTTTGTGTGTTTGTTGTTTAATTACACACTCAGCAATATTCCAGCTATGGTCTGAGACTGGACTAGACAATCCAGGGATTGACATCATGAGCATCTATCTTTGCAGTTGGATACAATGACATGCATCAGCTAAATCAGTGAGTCTGACTACCTGATCTCGTTAGTCGCTTCTTATGATGTTTGTTTGTTTGTTGTTTAATGCCGCACTCAGCAATATTTATGGCAGGCATTGGTTCCTCAGGACCAATTCCAACCAGAATCCCTGACACAGGTGAGCTGACACAGGTGGTGAGCTAACACAGGTGAGCTGACACAGGTGAGCTGACACAGGTGGTGAGCTAACACAGGTGAGCTGACACAGGTGGTGAGCTAACACAGGTGAGCTGACAAAGGAGGTGAGCTGACACAGGTGGTGAGCTGACACAGGTGAGCTGACAAAGGTGAGCTGACACAGGTGGTGAGCTAACACAGGTGGTGAGCTAACATAGGTGAGCTGACACAGGTGAGCTGACACAGGTGGTGAGCTAACACAGGTGGTGAGCTAACATAGGTGAGCTGACACAGGTGAGCTGACACAGGTGAGCTGACACAGGTGGTGAGCTAACACAGGTGGTGAGCTAACATAGGTGAGCTGACACAGGTGAGCTGACACTGGTGAGCTGACACAGGTGGTGAGCTAACATAGGTGAGCTGACACAGGTGAGCTGACACTGGTGAGCTGACACAGGTGGTGAGCTGACACAGGTGGTGAGCTAACACAGGTGAGCTGACACTGGACTAATGGCAGACACAGAAACTTACCTCTTCCTTACACTTTAGGACAGCTCCGTGTTGAACCTTGGGCAGGTGGCCAATAGGATCCCCCATCAGTGGCTTGCTAAAGCTGAAGTTAAAACTATCATCAGAAACGTATTCCTATTTAGTCTTGGTAGTGTTGCAATACAAGCACATTCCATGACCATCCATACCCAGACCTGAACTGTATCATGACAAGACAGTGTCGAATCAGGAAGATCAGTTGTGCTTTTTCAATAGCATTTTTTTTTCCCATTTCCATGCATATTCTAATATAAAAATACTTCATCTATACTTTAAATCTGTGTATGCATAGAATAGCAACAGCAAACCAGTTTATACTCTTCGACCACATTGAGGAATATTACAATAGTTTCTACAAACACTGAAATCATGCCAGTTGAACCAACAGTGTCAGCATTCATCGACAACCTCATCATCCAAAAATAAACAGCCACGACAAAATAAACTGCTACTGCCCTGTTGGTCAGCCATCACTTTTCACAACCTTCAGCTAGAACGTCAACCTAACCCCTGTTTTGGTCATCTCAAACAAGAAATATGGACACCTTGGAAATCTTCTGCCCAGAACCATCATGGACGACCTTGAACTTCCCCGCTTACCCATCTGAAGAGATGACAGAGAAGGCAGCGTCTTCTTGGTCACTTTCATTGTTGGGTGATGAAGGATTGACGCTTGTCCCCGACAACATCCGAATGTATGACGGCTTGCCAATCAGTGGGACGTCCAGCTCACTGGGCAGTGTCATGCAGTTGATGTCGAAGGTAAACCTCATATTTTCAAGGTCAAGGTTGCTGACCTCCTCTTCAATCTTTGTCCAAATGTCAACTGAGGAATGAAGGCATCATCATGTAAAAATAAACTCACCAACACATAAAGGAATCAGAGTTACCTCCCATGACTCTTCACCATTTTCCCACCAAAACGACTGTGCATCCGGATATGTCATATTGAAGGGTTGTTACTCTAATCGGTCTACATTGCATCAAACTTTGTGGGTAAACACTTCACAATGTATTTTGTTTTTCGCAAGAATCCGGCCTCTTTCCAACACGAATATATTTGAGTGATATTTCATTATAACTTATTTCTGTATCTTTTTTATACCATTAGAGTCGGCGGTATTATCAGAACATAGAAAAAGTCATTTAATTTGTGTCATTATGCAACACTAATGTATGGGAAAGACAAAAATGTTTCATTCTTGAGATTTCATGAAGCATTTTTCTGATATTTAGCTGATTTCTTAGGACATATAGATAATAACTGTACAAACATATGGCATACAGTTCATTTTGTTTCCACAAAACTTACCTGTGAAATATTCTGTGGGCAATTATCCTACCTTGTCCATTCAAGTTGATTCAAAAGAAAGACACAAAAGAAAGAAAGTGGATCATCTAGTGCATACCCAGACATTGTGGCAGTGTTCTGATGGAGACGAAGTGCGAGCTGCCTGCATTCTTCATGGAGCATGTGAAGTGGATGAAGAGCGGCTCCTCTTCCTCCTTCTGCTCCGTGGTCAGGTCAAGGTCAAGCTCCGACTCTGATGAATGAGAGGACCCCATGCTGGACAACACCGACGTGCTGTCCTCCTGCAAGTGACCGTCTCGTAACAACTTTTCTTCGGGGCGGATCTCAATGTACTCATCATCTGTGTGCTCTGTCTGGCTTGTGTCTGGATAGAAACATTGGCTGTTCAGGTGAACCATACAATCTTAGCAGCCTTCAAAAAGTCGTTCAAATATTACTATGTACAAGTTTGCTATTTTAAATGTTATGAAGCACAATAGCATAAAAGTTTATGATTGCCATTATAATGTTAAAACAGTATCTGTTTCACACAAGGTACTAACTGCAACGTCATGTATATATTAACATAGGCAATAGACCCTTGAGAGTAGTCCCTCAGTCACTCAACCTTTAGATGCCATGAACTGTTGAGATGCACTTCCACATTATCATGAAAACAAAGCACTTACTGGTGTATTATCAGATGCTCCAAACATTCAATGGTGATTACACAAGTTGTAATAATTTTATAGCTTACAGATTCAATGGCAATAACACCATTTTTCTTAATCTTATGGCATAGATTGTTTTCTATAAAATTTGCTTTCATACATCAAAATAACTTTGTTTATTTAAGATTCATAAATAAAAATATCATTTTTTTATTATACTTGGCATAAAGTTGTTTGGGTACATCAGTTTAGAGTGTAAAAATAAATACACGTATTTACTTTCATCAGTCTTTGTTCTGTTGAGAGTTTTGCAAAACAATACATTTAGTTAACAGGTTTTTGGGGGTAAGATTAAGTTTTCTGTAGTAAATTTTTATCTTATAGTGTGAGGAGGCAAGTAAAACAAATTTCATTTTACTTTCTGATTGTGGCTTTGACGCATCTGTGAAAAATGTAAAACTAGTGTTGTCTAAACCTAACTAGACTGCCACCACAGTAAATGCTGCTTCCCCACCTGCGTTGTCCCCATGCTGGCTGTCAGACACATCTCCATCCTCCTGACTCTCCTCCAGCTGAAACAGTCAAACACATCAGCCTTACCAGCAGATGGTGTCTCAGAGAGGATACACTCTACATCAGCCAAACACATCAGCCTTACCAGCAGATGGTGTCTCAGAGAGGATACACACTACATCAGTCAAACATCAACCTTACCAGCAGATGGTGTCTGAGAGAGGATACACGATACATCAGTCAAACACATCAGCCTTACCAGCAGATGGTGTCTCAGAGAGGATACATGATACATCAGTCAAACATCAACCTTACAATCAGATGGTAAGTCTCAGAGAGGATACACACTACATCAGTCAAACATCAACCTTATCAGCAGATGGTGTCTGAGAGAGGATACACGATACATCAGTCAAACACATCAGCCTTACCAGCAGATGGTGTCTCAGAGAGGATACATGATACATCAGTCAAACATCAACCTTACAATCAGATGGTAAGTCTCAGAGAGGATACACACTACATCAGTCAAACATCAACCTTACCAGCAGATGGTGTCTGAGAGAGGATACACGATACATCAGTCAAACACATCAGCCTTACCAGCAGATGGTGTCTAAGAGAGGATACACACTACATCAGTCAAACATCAACCTTACAATCAGATGGTAAGTCTTAGAGAGGATACACACTACATCAGTCAAACATCAACCTTACAATCAGATGGTAAGTCTTAGAGAGGATACACACTACATCAGTCAAACATCAACCTTACAATCAGATGGTAAGTCTTAGAGAGGATACACACTACATCAGTCAAACATCAACCTTACAATCAGATGGTAAGTCTTAGAGAGGATACACGCTACATCAGTCAAACATCAACCTTACAATCAGATGGTAAGTCTTAGAGAGGATACACCTTACAATCAGATGGTAAGTCTAAGAGAGGATACACACTACATCAGTCAAAAATCAACCTTACAATCAGATGGTAAGTCTTAGAGAGGATACACCTTACAATCAGATGAAATGGATAATTTCCATGTCATTCAAAGTAAAACACTGATGAACACTTGACACAAGTTGTTCTTTAAAACCACTCGAGTGAAGAAGTATTGTGCAAAATATTCTCATACTCCAAATGTGTTCAATAAACACTAGCAGTGGATAGAAAATACCACTGAATTGTACCAATCTATCTACTTATTCACAGTACTGCCCGCACCTATGAAGGCATTAGCATTGTCAGCATTCATAAGCCCATGTGTGGGCCAGTATTGCCCAAGGATACCTATGGCAGGACAAGTAAACAGTACTGCGGACCTATTCTGCCAAAGGGTACCTATGGAGGACAAGTATGGGGTGCTGGGGCCAATATTGCCCAAGGATACCTATGGCGGGACAAGTAAACAGTACTGCGGACCTACTCTGCCGAAGGGTACCTATGGAGGACAAGTATGGGGTGCTGGGGCCAATATTGCCCAAGGATACCTATGGCGGGACAAGTAAACAGTACTGCGGACCTATTCTGCCGAAGGGTACCTATGGAGGACAAGTATGGGGTGCTGGGGCCAATATTGCCCAAGGATACCTATGGCGGGACAAGTAAACAGTACTGTGGACCTATTCTGCCCAAGGGTACCTATGGAGGACAAGTATGGGGTACTGGGGCCAATATTGCCCAAGTATACCTATAGCGGGACAAGTAAACAGTACTGTGGACCTATTCTGCCGAAGGGTACCTATGGAGGACAAGTATGGGGTACTGGGGCCAATATTGCCCAAGGATACCTATAGCGGGACAAGTAAACAGTACTGTGGACCTATTCTGCCCAAGGGTACCTATTGAGGACAAGTATGGGGTACTGGGGCCAATATTGCCCAAGGATACCTATGGTGGGACAAGTGTGGGGTACTGGGGCCAGTATTGCCAAAGGATACCTATGGTGGGACAAGTAAACAGTACTGCGGACCTATTCTGCCCAAGGGTACCTATGGAGGACAAGTATGGAGTATTGCATGGGGGCCAATAGTGCCAATGGATACCTATGGAGGGACAAGTATGGGGTACAGGGGTACTTCTGTGCCCAAAGGTATCTTTTGAGGGACAATCATGGGGTATTGGGGGCCTATTCTGCCCAAGGATACCTATAGAAGGACAAGCATGGAGTACTGGGCTACTTCTTTGCCCAAAGGTATATATGGAGGGACAAGCACGGGGTATTGGGGACCTATTCTGCCCAAGTGAATCTATTGAGGGACAAGCACGGAGTACTGGGCTTCTTCTGTGCCCAAAGGTATATATGGAGGGACAAGCATGGGGTATTGGGGACCTATTCTGCCCAAGTGAATCTATTGAGGGACAAGCATGGAGTACTGGGCTACTTCTGTGCCCAAAGGTTATATGGAGGGACAAGCATGGGGTATTGGGGACCTATTCTGCCCAAGGGTATCTATTGAGGGACAAGCATGGAGTACTGGGCTACTTCTGTGCCCAAAGGTTATATGGAGGGACAAGCATGGGGTATTGGGGACCTATTCTGCCCAAATGAATCTATTGAGGGACAAGCATGGAGTACTGGGCTACTTCTGTGCCCAAAGGTTATATGGAGGGACAAGCATGGGGTATTGGGGACCTATTCTGCCCAAGTGAATCTATTGAGGGACAAGCACGGAGTACTGGGCTACTTCTGTGCCCAAAGCTTATATGGAGGGAAAAGCATGGGGTATTTGGGACCTATTCTGCCCAAGGATACCTATAGAGGGGACAAGAATGGGATACTACTGTGGGTGGATTCACTCACTGAGACATCCTGCAACATGCTGTCCGAGCAGTAGAAGTAGAAGTCAGGGTGGGTTGGGACTGGGCGGAACCACTTCTGTACAATACCCAGGAACTTGGATCGCACTAGTTCACGCAGACCATCAATTATGTCACAAGGACAAGCCCCCTTCAGTGGAATGGTCAGAGTGGTGGACACTTTGGGCAGCTGCAGCACGGCTGGTATCCTGGAGTCGAGCACATCTATATCACTGCAACCACAAAACAAAAGGTGAGCTTTCAGAACAACCTTCTTCATTCTACGAGGGTAACAGCTTGTTCGCGAGAATTTGAACAAACCTCACTCGATCCAAGGTCATGAAGAGATAAAGGGAAGTTTCCCATCCAGAATAAAACCTGCAATAAACAACCTGGGATCACAACTATTTGGTTTTGTATAGTAAAAAAATATAACATAAGATAACAGAAGAGTTATCTTTCCTTGCCTAAACTGTGCCAACATGGATGCTTATAAATGAGTTTACATCAGATTTTAGCCAACTGGGAAAATCTTTTTTTTGAAACATACATCAAATATCAATTAATGCAGCTATTTCAATCCTCTCAAACATAAAACGCATCAACACTTTGACAAAGGTCAACATTGTGTCATTTTGTGTGTGTCCTCATCAACTTGTCAACAGATGCCAACAAATTAATTTCCCAGGCAAGGACAAACAATTAGAAGAAAACAAGAGAACATGTAGCAATATGCCCTAAAACTGAGGTAGTTGATTCACAATGCAGACATTTGTCACCACCTTTCTAGTACCCAAGATCTCCATTACTCATATAAAACCTTAAATCTCAGGTCTAAGATTTCACCTATCAGTGTCTTCCACCATATCCATGAACCTGACGGACAGTTTCCGAGGCTGCTTGACCGCCTCTTTGGTGGTGCCACTCTCCTTCCGGGCCTTGTCCGCGATGTGCTGGAAGTGACCGCAGGATGCCTGAAGGAAGTAGGTCATGTCTGTCTCCAGGGGACACGACTCCTCACAGATGTTGTTGATGGCTGCATTGACGTCCCGCTGATCGACATAGAAGCACTGCTGTAGGCTCTTGAACACTCCTGTGAAAAGTTGATGATGGAGGGAGAAGTCACTCACAAATGATATTCATAACATGAATTCTCAACAATACTATTTTTCAGTATCACTTGAGAACTTACAGATCAATTTTATAAGAATAATAGAGAGAAACTTGAATCAGAAAGAATCCCAACTAGTTGCTTATAAAACATATAAGGAAAGTGCCATCCTGATATCCTGATTTTTTAATACCTTTACATTTTATGCACCTGACTGCATTTGATCTTGAAAAAATCAAAGATCATGAAGATATAATCATCTTTGTGAATGAATGAAGGACTTCAGTTTCCAGAGCAACACATTTCTAATCTTCAACACAGTTTTGTTTATTTGTTAAATTTCTTAACTATTCTCCCTGAAAATGGGGAAAGGCTTCCCAATGTCACAACCAATTATCAGAAACTTTACATTTGGTTCACGCTTATTATTACTTACACTCCTGGAGGAAAGACCAAAAGCACTTGTTGACCATGAACTCACCAGTAACAAAGCATGTGAGGTATGTCTCTGAGATGACCACACAATGCTGCCTGAAGGCTGAGGATCCTCCTTCACACATGCTGTCATTAGATCTCCGGTCTAAGGATGACCTCCAGTTCAACCTGTGAATGTCACTCTCTTCTTCATTTACACTGTCCTCATTGTCACAAGACAGCAAGCGACCTCGAGGACTTGCCGTCATTTTGCCATAAGACTGAGTATTGTCGAGATCAGCCATGTCAAATGACATGTCCTCATAGATGTCCTCATACTGGGTGAAGTCCCACCTGTTGACCAGCGAGTCCACAACATTATGCTGGTAGCAATCGTACACATATATTGGCAGTAACAAAGGACGTGGCTGAGATGGTTCGTCTTCCAGAACTTCAGCACCATCAGGAACATCTCCTGAAACTTCGGAAGATCCCTTTTGCAGATCAGAACCTCCTTCAACTTCTTCCGGGATGACAGTATGAGCTTCATCTTCCACTCCAGGATCAACTGATGTCTCGTCCTCCACATCTCTCAAATCTTGCTCCACATCAGAATCTGTCGCAGGCTTGGATGGAGAAGAAGGTTGAGTCACCCCAGAAACCTTATCAGGCTGTTCAACTGTTTGTTCTGCTGTTTTTTCTCTATTCCCAGGCTCTTCAGCTACATCCTTTCCAAACTCTGTAATACTGTTGAGTAGAAGGAGATCATCAAAACTTGCTGGAACAAATGTGAGGAACATGTGAGTGTCTGTCTTTGCAGAAGCAAAGCATCTCCACATAGGATAAGCAGCCTCTTCATCTGATGGCTGTTTCTCCAAAGGCCTAATAGGAGCACCATAGCTCTTGTTCAAAGGAGAACTTGTAAATGGAGAGTTTATTTCAAAGTTGCCTAGTTTGGAATCCTTCAGTTTTGGGGTTCCTAGAACTTTACTTTCCTTATCAACCTTTTCCGAGTCCTTCCCTGATTTGGGGTCGGAAGTTTTGGCATCAGTTGTGGATTTGTCTTCTGGTAAGGGTGTTGCTTCATGGATATTATTGACGAAGTTGAAAGGGAGGGGGTTCTTGCTAGCATCTCTCTTCCTGGACTTGAGGAGGTTCAGAAACCTAGCACAGTCTTCAGAGGTGAGTGGGATTTCTTTGTCATGGACATTTTCCTTACTGAGAAGCCCTGTTCCCTTTAGACTTTCAAACAAAATGGCAAACAGTTGGTTGTTGGAGCCTTTGGGATCAATGGGAACATCCTCTGCATTGTAGGTTATTTTAGCTGAAAAGCATGAACAAAACAATCACTGATTGACATTACCTTACCGGTACTCTGAATGTGTAGACTAAACCCTAATATGCTGACATAAACTCATTCTAATGATGTACCATGAAAAAATTTCCTGTAGTGATTTCAGCCTTTATGTGGATGAGCAATGCTGCAGCAAGTAATTTCAGCCTTCATGTGGATAAGCAATGCTGCAGTGAGTGATGTAATTTCAAGCAACATAAATATTCTAAGGGACCTGGGATTTTTGTAAGAGACAATTTTTTCTCAGAGTAGAAGAACTAAACAATTTTTTCAGGAACTACAAGACATTTTTCATGCATATAATGCTGCATGCCCAGTGAACAGTTATTGTTTTGTAAAACCTGAGGGCCATAGTACATTTTTCAGTATTTCATTAACAAATTACTTCCTTTATCTAAATCTCAGTCCCTTTCTGAATACCAAATGGTCAGAACCTAGAATAAAGAATAGAATAGAGTGTAGCACTAGTATACATTTTTCAATGGTGTTTGCTTTACTTGGGGCTATGCTTTCCAGTTATATGACAGTGGCTTGTAAATGATGAACTTGAACCAGTGAAAACAGTGACTGACATGAGGAGGTATGAATGCAACACCTGCTTGTCACTTACCTGGCGGTATGAAGGTGGAGAAGAGTAGCTCTGCCTGTTGAGACTTGGGAAGGAGAGCCAGCAGGTCGAAGGGGAAGGGGATGTTGAAGATGGATGTCTCCAGCCTCCGACTGTCATCTCGCACATACTGCTTACGGAACCGTGGACTTGGGGGGCTGTATTCAAAATGAATCCAAAATTAAAGGACTCTTGGTGGATACAGATGTTTGATGGAACACATATACATGTACATGTACATACAGTCATCAACACCAAAACAAAATTGTTTCAATTCTGACTAAACCATACCTATGGAGAGATGTACAAAAGAAATTCCTACTTTTCAATGTATCCACCTGGAACAATGCTAAGCATCTCCCCTTCCACACTTTCATATATCCCATGTACCTTTGGAATATCTACTTGTGGTGTTGAGCTATTTTGATAAATGTCCAAGATTACACCGATGCCTCTTGCACTGTTGGCACAGGAGCCTGTTCCTCCAGATAGTCACAAGTATTGCCAGGGCAGTCAAACAACTATTGCCATGGAAACATGTCATTATATAATCCATTCAGTTTTTGTATGCCAGAATGAGTGTGTTACTTTGTAAACAAAACTAAATGTTTTCTGTCATAAAATTAAAACAGGATATGATTTAATAAATTACTATTTAATATGAAAATCTACAGAAACAGTTTTTCGAAGGTTATATTCAGATTACTACATATAAACTGATATAAAGAAAATGCATTTCAATATATTTGTTTGCCATGATTGGAAATGGCCGCTTTGCCTACCAGGAGTGCGAGGACTGGGAGTCAGCCACCGGGGAGGGCAGGATGGGACAGTTCCGACACTGGTAGATGAGATGTTCGAACGTCACCAGGCTGGAGATACACTCGTAGTCCACAGGGAAAAACTGAAACAAACATTTCGGAAAATGTACTTATCTCATGTTGGCTCAACATGGATTACCTGACTTGTAGATTATCAACTTAAATAGAGGCCCATAGGGCCTGCATAGCTCACCTGGATATTTACGCAATCGTGACAAATATACATTTGCATTGTGCATGTACATAATACTGCAAATATTTCGTAATTTTGACTCTGTCAGCATTTAAAATGGGTGGATGGCAAATCAGACAGCTTGAACGTGTATTTCTCCAGATAAAAATGTAGCATAAAGATCTGAACTGTTTCCATGTTATGATCCTGGATAAATCATATTAAATGTATTATTCTCTTCATAACAAACAAATGCATACAATGTATGTGTATATTATAGGGTGGGGATAATATGGGTTTGCATGTTATGGTTAAGGTACCTAGGGATGCCTCCAACCAAATATGGTGGATATATCTATGTCTAAGTTCCAGAGAAGAAGTCACTTAAAGCAATATAGCCAAATTACCCATCAGCCATCAGCCCCACCATTTTGTACAATTTTGAATCCCCACCACCTAGGGATGCTTCCAACCAAATACGGTTGATATCTATGTCTTAGTTCCAGAGAAGAAGTCACTTAAAGCAATATAGCCAAATTACCCATCAGCCATCAGCCCCACCATTTTGTACAATTTTGAATCCCCACCACCTAGGGATGCTTCCAACCAAATACGGTTGATATCTATGTCTTAGTTTCAGAGAAGAGGTCGTTTAAAGCATTAAAGCCAAATTACCCCCATTTGGCCCCGCCCCTCAGCCCCTGGGAGGGTCAGCCCCACCATTTGTATAATTTTGAATCCCCAGCACCTAGGGATGCTTCCAGTCAAATTTTGTTAATTTCCAATTAGTGGTTCAGAAGAAGAAGTCGTTTGAATAAATTGTTGACGTACGTACGACGGATGGACGACGGACACCATGGTGTGGCATAAGCTCACATTGGTCCTTCGGACCCGGTGAGCTAATAAATGTTGCTGACATCTTGAACAGACCGCATGAAGGCCAGCTTAATGAATGGTGGTGTTTTGTGGTGGATGTTTGCTTCTAGTGAACTTTACCTGTTTGTTTACAAGTTGTGTACTTGTATGTACTGATATATATATAGATATGTAGATAGCTACACTATAAATCCCAAAGAACAATAAAATGAAGTGTAGTTTATTAAAAGATAAAACACTGTTCTATCATGACGTCGTTTCTGGAGATTTGAACATGTGCTCGCAACTTGATGACGGCGTATACTGGACGACGTTACTTTTGAGAGCGGAGTGTCTATCGAGTTGTTCCCCATAGATGTAGCTGGACAGCATAGATGAAGGCAATGGTCGAACAATTCCATCCAAAGCCCGAGAGATGTGACAATCGTCATGAGGAGAAAAGGTACAGGTAATTGACGTGGGGGAGGTGAGAATATGTGGGAAAGACCAAAACCTGTTCTTAAAATGGACTTGTCCAACATTGCTGCTGTCAGAGTCTTTTGAGGGAGTCATCATTATTAAAATACGGGTAAATATTTTCAAAGCTTGCATCCAAAAAGAGGCTGTACATAATGTTGATATCTCATACAAGAAATAAAGGCCAGCTCGATGTGTGGTGGTGTTTTGTGGTGGACGTTTGTTTCTAGTGAACTTTACCTGTTTGTTTACAGGTTGAGTGCATGTACTAATATATAAAGTACCCTCTCTGTGATTCTACTGCTTCAAAACACCGACGACATTGTCCTGTTTTGTCATGGTATGATTTCGTAGTTGAAGAGATGCTGACAATGTTTAGTCAACTGAAAAAAATTGGAGCCTCATCATGACGTTCCACGGACACAGCATGCACATGAATCAATCACATTTCTGTAATGTTATGTTTATGTTATGCATTTGGTTGGACCAACAATGAAATTATTTATTTGGTATCAAAGGTTTCACATATATATCATTTATTCCCCAATGTGTATATCAATATCATAGATGCATTCTTTTGTTTTGAGAATTATAATATAACTTGTAGCAGGATCATGAGGGGTACATGGAGTTTTATGCATCCCATGCTTATAATAGGTTTTATAAGAGCCAGCAGGAACCCGAGTGATCCTTCTACAACAAATTTATCTTACCAACATATTTTAATATGACATTGAAAAAGAATTAAAACAATTTTTTTTAAATTGATAGAAAACACCTATTTCATTGAGCTGAGGTTAGCTTGTTCTATGATATGTGACTATCATCGACTCAGAAAAGCATGCAGCTTTTTTATTCAAAGCAGGGTATAAGGGATTTATACTCCCGCTGAGAAACTTATTTCACTCCAAGGCGAGATACATAGTATTTTATCAAGATCATGTGAACCACTCAGATCTCATCATTCTGACATGGAGGTATGATAATACATTATTGACAATCTGATACAGTCAAATTTCAGTTGCATATTTTGATAAAAAGTTTTCTCTTGTTTTCGACCATTTTCATTAGGCAATCATGTTTTTTTTCTCCAAATTCTGCCCCCAAACATTTCCATACTCTTATTCTTGTTCATGCAGCTTTTAATATTCAGAGAATATAGGGACCCAAGATGTATTTTGATTATTGAAGAAATATCTTTGCATCATTGTATTGATTGTGCATAATTCTATACCTTAAATTGCATATCAGTGAGAATCTTGCCGATTTATATTTTGAAGGTTACATCAGAATTTTCACAAACATTCAAAAAGTCTTATCTTATTTATGTTAATCTAATGTCACAGATGATATATAACACCACTATGCACACAGACGGCAAAATAAAGTTTAAATTACAGACATTGGTTGTACTCCCATCTCTTTACAGTGAGGCATGATATTGCCAAATAAGAGGAGTCACATCGGAACTACCTTGGTCAGTTATCTCCCTTTGCTTCTTTGGTGATGGGCACCAGTATAAATATCTTCACCTAGCTACCCTCAATACAATACCTTCATCTAGCTACCCTCAATACAATATCTTCACCTAGCTACCCTCAATACAATATCTTCACCTAGCTACCCTCAATACAATATCTTCATCTAGCTACCTTCAATACAATACCTTCACCTAGCTACCCTCAATACAATACCTTCTTCACCTAGCTACCCTAAATACAATATCTTCACCTAGCTACCCTCAATACAATACCTTCTTCACCTAGCTACCCTCAATACAATATCTTCACCTAGATACCCTCAATACAATATCTTCATCTAGCTACACTCAATACAATATCTTCTTCTAGCTACACTCAATACAATATCTTCACCTAGCTACCCTCAATACAATGCCTTCTTCACCTAGCTACACTCAATACAATATCTTCATCTAGCTACCCTCAATACAATATCTTCACCTAGCCACCCTCAATACAATATCTTCACCTAGCTACCCTCAATACAATATCTTCACCTAGCTACCCTCAATACAATACCTTCACCTAGCTACCCTCAACACAATATCTTCACCTAGCTACACTCAATACAACACCTTCACCTAGCTACACTCAATACAATATCTTCACCTAGATATCTTCAACACAATATCTTCACCTAGCTATCCTCAATACACTACCTTCACCTAGCTACCCTCAACACAACACCTTCACCTAGCTACACTCAATACAATACCTTCACCTAGCTACCCTCAATACACTACCTTCACCTAGCTACCCTCAACACGACACCTTCACCTAGCTACCCTCAACACAATACCTTCACCTAGCTACCCTCAACACAATACCTTCACCTAGCTACCCTCAACACAATATCTTGACCTAGCTACCCTCAATACAATACCTTCACCTAGCTACCCTGATTACAAAATCTTCACCTAGATAACCTCAACACAACACCTTAACCTAGCTACCCTAAATACAATACCTTCACCTAGCTACCCTCAACACAATATCTTCACCTAGCTACCCTCAATACAATACCTTCATCTAGCTACCCTCAACACAACCCCTTCACCTAGCTATCCTCAACACAATATCTTCTTCACCTAGCTACCCTCAATACAATATCTTTGCCTAGCTACCCTCAATACAATATCTTCACCTAGCTACCCTCAATACAATACCTTCACCTAGCTACCCTCAACACAACACCTTCACCTAGCTACCCTCAACACAACACCTTCACCTAGCTACCCTCAACACAACACCTTCACCTAGCTACCCTCAACACAACACCTTCACCTAGCTATCCAATACAATATCTTTGCCTAGCTACCCTCAATACAATATCTTCACCTAGCTACCCTCAATACAATATCTTCACCTAGCTACCCTCAATACAATACCTTCATCTAGCTACCCTCAACACAACCCCTTCACCTAGCTATCCTCAACACAATATCTTCTTCACCTAGCTACCCTCAATACAATATCTTTGCCTAGCTACCCTCAATACAATATCTTCACCTAGCTACCCTCAATACAATACCTTCACCTAGCTACCCTCAACACAACACCTTCACCTAGCTACCCTCAACACAACACCTTCACCTAGCTACCCTCAACACAACACCTTCACCTAGCTACCCTCAACACAACACCTTCACCTAGCTATCCTCAACACAATATCTTCTTCACCTAGCTACCCTCAATACAATATCTTTGCCTAGCTCTACTCAATACAATATCTTCACCTAGATACCCTCCATACAATATCTTCACCTAGCTACCTTCAATACAATATCTTCTTCACCTAGCTACCCTCAATACAATATCTTTGCCTAGCTACCCTCAATACAATATCTTCATATAGCTACCCTAAAAACACACCTTCACCTAGCTACCCTCAACACAATATCTTCACCAAGCTACCCTCAATACAATATCTTCACCTTCATGACCTCAATAAAATATACCTTCTTCAGTTAGCCTAGCTACCCTCAATACAATATCTTCATATAGCTACCCTAAAAACACACCTTCACCTAGCTACCCTCAACACAATATCTTCACCAAG